TCCATTCTTATTCCTTCGACCTGTTTCCAAGCGATAATTTCCTTTCCTCCAAACTAAAACGCTCTTTCCGTTGATTTCATTTCCTGTCTGATGATGAGATTATGGAGACCGTCGTAGAGTGGTATGAATGTAAACTCCCTGGCTTTTTTCTTAGAATGGCACATATTTGACAGAAGTGTTAACCCTGGCGCTTACCACTAATGATACAAATTATATCATCAATTGTTGACGATTTGATTTACTGACGCCATGAAATTAGTATTCAAGAAATTTAATGATAATCGACGTCCAATCATGATACAAATTATATTGTCATAGGATAATGATGTCGTCCACACTTGATTTCCAAAGATCTTGGTATGCGGCATAAAGGGTGACTTGTTTGTAGCTCACTTGAGCTGAAAGCTCGAGTGAGCTTTTCTGTAGGATCACAATTTGTCTGTAGTTCGGCTGTCCATTTGTCTGTCTGTCTAGCTGTCTGTTCGTCCGTCTGTAAACTTTTCACATTTTCGACTTCTTTTCGACCGGAACCACTGGACCAAGCTAAACCAAACTTGCCACAAAGCATCCTTGAGTAAAGGGGATTCAAGTTTGTTCAAATGAAGGGCCATGTCCTCTTTCAAGGGGAGATAATTCGGAAGTACTGAAAATTCGGTGGCATGTTTTAAAAATCTTCTTCTCAAGAACCACTGGGCCAAAAAGTGGAAACATATACTAGGAAACCTTCTTTGAATAGTGTAGATTCAAGTTTGTTCAAATGATGACCCCGGGTGTACGGTGGGGCCACAATGGGGGATCAAAGTTTTACATACGAATATTTAGAAAAAAATCTTTTAAAAACTTCTTCTCAAGAACAGCAAAGTCATGTTTTGTCACATTGATATTGAAGCATCCTCAGGTAGCGTAGATTCAAATTTGTTCGAATGATGACCCATGGGGGTAGGGTGGGGTCACAATTGGGGATCAAAGTTTTACAAAGGAATATATAGGAAAAATCTTTAAAAGTCTTCCTCTCAAGAACAGTCAGACCATGTTTAGTCATATTGATATGAAAAACATCCTCAGGTAGTGTAAATTCAAGTGTGTTCAAATGATGACCCCCGGGGTAGGGAGGAGCCACAATGGGGGATTAAAGTTTAAGTTTTAGATAGGAATATACAGAAAAAAATCTTTAAAAAATGATTTCTCAAAACAGCAAAACTATGATTACTCATGTTGATATGGAGGCATCCTCAGGTAGTGTAGATTCAAATTTGTTCACACGATGACTCCCGGGGATAGGGTGAGATCACAATTGGGAATCAAAGTTTTACAAAGGAATATATAGGACAAAATGTACTTTACAAATCTTCTTCTTAAGAAGAGTAAAACCTTGTTTAGTCATATTGATATGGAAGCATTCTCAGGCAGTGTAGAGTCGAGTTTGTTCAAATGAAGACCCCCGGGGGTATGGTGGGGCCACAAAGGGGATCAAAGTTTTACATAGGAATATATAGGAAAAGGTCTTCTCAAGAATAGAAAAGCCTTGTTTAGTCATATTGATATGGAAGCATCCTCAGGTAGCGTAGATTCAAGTTTGTTCAAATCATGACCCCCGGGGGTAGGGAGGGGCCACAATGCGGGATCAAATTTTTACAAAGGAATATATAGGAAAAAATCTTTATAAGAATCTTTAAAAATCTTCTGCTCAAGAACAGCAAAGTCATTTGTTATATTGATCTTGAAGCATCCTCGGGTAGTGTAAAATTCAAGTCTCCCTCTCAACTTTTCAATGCTGAACTGATTTGTGCTTTTTCCTAGCCAATGTGCTCTGGTGAGCGATTTGGCTAATGGGCCTCTTGTTATGGTTTGTATTCAGAAAAAAGGCAGCTGCAAGATAAGTTGAGGCAATAGGCAAGGCTCTTGGGCAATTTTGTGTTTTTACCTTTTGTTAACGTAATTTTTTTTTTTATCTTTCCATCTTCATAACATGTAATTTTACCTTTACTATTTATTAAAAGATTGTTCTGTGCAAGCTTAGAAATTTCAAATTAATTAAATCATTATAGTATATTTTACTGATTATAGATTTCTTTTTGCGTGCAGAAAAAAAGGCTGTTGGCAATTTCATCAATATAGCATATAATGCATGAAAAAACCCTAATATTAATGTCTTAATGAGCACTTTTATGAAATATAGGAAGTGATCGAAATATTTTGTCTTAATTGTTTCTAGAAAAAAATGAGACAAGTCCCGCATCCGGAGGGCTGATAAGAAGTGCGAGGAAATCGTAAATCAGAACTGTACACGATCCCATCGATTTACCGGTTTCTTTGTCGTTTTAATTAGCATACAACAGCTGGTGTCCTTAAACTCATTTCCAGATATGACTAAAGTGTTTGTCTTCCCCCTGTTCTTGATTCAATCGCATTTAACCATTCTATTTGAATTTAAAAGTTTTTTGGTTTTTCGTCTTTAGTTGAAGCTGATGTGTTTCAAGATCTGAGTTGAAGCTGTCTGGTTTTCAAGAATTAATTACCAGAAATGCAAACGATTGTATTATTCTATAACCTCTGAGGACATCATGTGTAAACGTCTAACATTTGGCTATGCATTTTTTTTTTTATCGCTTTTGTCGGAAAGCAAGTACAAAAATAAATCAAGTATATAGCTAAATGTCTTTACCATATATATATTCATGTTTAGCACATAGCTAAATGTCTTAACATATATATTAATATTTAGCACATTCAGAAATGTGCTTAAATCTACGTTAACTAATTAATGAATCAGTTTCCACCAAATATTGTAAAATGTTTTGTGCACTATAATGAGTAAATATGGTACATTTACAGTATTAAATAATGTAAATTTCTGTAATATTATTCTGTGCGATTTTAGGTCCTGACCGTAGTAGCTATTTTGAAAATGAATGAACCAACTTTAAAGCAATGGGGGTGGGGCGTACACAAAGCTAAATTTTTCGCATATTTTTTTCTGTTAATGTCACAGGCACCGGTAACATACTATGCTTGATTTAACGTGATCTCTCTCTCTCTCTCTCTTAATAGATATATATATATATATATATATATATATATATATATATATATATATATATATATATATATATATATATATATATATATATATATATATATATATATATATATAATTTTTTCGGTTATGAAAAAAAATTGACATACTAGAATATAGAGTTACTCATCTGCTATTTGTCCCTTTTTACACATATGACAAAGTCTATCATTTTGGGGAATTCCACACCATGATGATTTGTTGTTTTGAATTTGATACAAATTGTTTTAAATTTTTTAGGTAGTATATTCAATTTTTTTTCATATCCAAATTTTGTTTTAATTGAAACATATCCACAACCATACACTCCAACCCTAGTAGCTTGTATACTAGTTATTGCTATGATGTACACCTGTCATGACCACAAGCGGACCCAGGATTTGGAGTTGGATGCCAGCTAATATCAACCATGAGGTCCATGACAAAGTCCCTGGAAGCTCCTGGATTCTAGAAGTTTTGTAAGGCAAAAATGAAGTACTCTAAGTAGATATTTTACTATTTCTTGTCATCATGATCAAGATCATTCCAAAGGAGAATTTATTAAACTACAAATATTTTTGTACATGTATATCTGATTTGTTGAATCAAAGTCTAGTCCTGTGTCAAGAAACTCTCCTGCCTTGTAAGGATATAGAAATGAAACTTTATATTTACACCGGGGCTTTGTCCGATAATTATCATTTCTTTTCATGGAAGAAACCATGATTTATATTGAATTTTACAACTTTAGTGGAGGGGGGGGGGGGCACGCCGGGTGATCCCTTCCTTTAAATCCGCCACTGATTGTTATTTATTGCAACCCAATAATTAGAGAAATGTTTAATTATAGTTTTAGTCTTTTTGTCTGGAATACGTGTTTCTGCGGTTTCAAAAATAAGTTAATTAATATATGCACAAGAAAAGCAGTTTTAACTCTTTGCCTCTTTATTTAACCACATAATAAATAAAGAAAGAAAGAAAGAAACTAAGAAAGAAAGAAAGAAATAATTTGTTAGATAAATAATAGACATTGATTGTTTTCTGTTCATTTTGCTTTAATTAAACCAACTGCCATATAGCCGCAATTTAAAAAAAAAATCTGCTGCTGCTGATAACAAAAATAAAGACAAATTCAAATTTAAGTGAGATTTTCATTTAATAGCGAGCGCAGCGAGCGGCGCGAAGCGCCGCTCGTCACTGCGAGCTCTAACGACAACGCCTGGGCGAAGAGAAAATTCGGACTACTGCACATTCATTCAATAGAATTTTTTTCCGCAGTAATTCTGACCCACAATGCATTGCTTCTTGTTCTCGCTGCTAACTTCATTCACGCGGTAGCAACAACTAAAATTTCACAAAAAATAAACTCACCTTAATTTAATGGATATTGCATGCAGATAGTAGATTAAACGTTCTTTGTTAAAATATGTGCACTTTTTAAACTTTGTTTATGGAAATGCAGCTAACGTACGTCATGTGACGTCACAGTCTAGACGTTCCAAATGTCTCGTGCGGTTTGAAGAGGCGGATCTTAAAATGAAGTGAACAATGCGCTCGCCCCAACGGTCGCACCGTCAACATATTACTATGCAGTGATTTTAATATTCTAATACCCTTGTAATTTATGAAAGAAAAATTAAAACCAATAAATATAAAATATAAACTTATTCTATTCTACATTATCAAAGATTTATATACTTCTTTTCTCCCCTACAAAAAATATATATATATATATATATATATTTCAAATCGAAATCTATGTACAGAATCTCGTCCAAAATGACAAGCAAATTACATCATCGCTTAGCAACCAGTGCATAGTGCCCATCCGAGTCATTATAGCGTTTTAATCGATCTGAGAAAAACATTGCACTTCCTGTACAGGAAAGCGCGCGTTACACTCGGATACACAACCAGACGATCACGTTGTTTACTTGATTTTTCGTTCAATAAATTGGATATGTATACATGAAATGATTGACGGGAGTATAAATTTAGAATGCTGGTAAGTATGTACCTTTGCATCAGTCGATTGGGATGCAGTAGGTTTTGAGGAAGTTAAACTGTTGAATGGTAGGTTTATATAACGAATTTTGGTTTTATCACTATGGCCAGTACGGCGTACGACGGTACGTAAGATTAGTCCTGCAATATGCCAATGGTGCCTTACAAATATCAAATTATCGTACTGTTATGTGCATCATGACATATTTTTATTCACTGTATATTTGTTGATTACAGGAATCATGCTGCATCTTATGTTCCAATGATAATCAATTAACTGAATTATAATTTATTACGGTAGGCCTACCGCACAACTGTACAGCTGTACAGTGAATGAGTGTATGTATAATCAGGTAATGGCTGAAAGTGGTACTCTCTAGTCTATTTAATGTAATAGGCTTATACATTTTTATATGTCAAGATATTTTTATCCCTGGCCCACGATCCAAAATGCTCAACTGAGCTTGTCTGAACAAAGAATGAGGTCTGTTATCAGTACTCACCGGGATATATCGTATCGACATAAGAATGGAAACAACTTTTGTTAATTGACAATACGTCGTTGATATATCTAAATGTCAAGTTGAAAGCCATAGCAAGTGTTTTCTTCCTTTCACATATTATGATTTTGAACAAAGTCTGCTTCATATGAATACAAAATACAATATACCTTCATCATCTGCATACGGGGTTTATATCTCTTGGTTGATTCGATATGTATGAGCATGCTCTACGTATGAGCAATTTCAAAAATGAGGTAAGTTATTGACAAACAAGTTGATGAAACAAGAATATCAGCAGTTTTGTGTAAAGTCGTCATTTCGTAAGTTCTATGGTCTTGTCAGAAAATACAATTTATCATTAAGTCAAATGCTGACTGACGTTTTTCATACTAATTTTTAGGCCATTATTTACGCACTGAAATGTCAACAGATTTTTCTGTTATTTCCCGATCATGACAAGGAGCACACGGCGGGTATGACCGGTCGGCAGGGGATGCTCACTCCTTCATGGCACCTGATCCTGCCTCTGATGTTTTAGAGGTCCGTGTTTGCTCTGCTCCAAAATTTGTATTGATTAATGGACTTTTGAGTTTGAATACTGTTCGTTATCTCCATACATTTCATTCCATTAGTGTATAGCTTCAAATGTCACTGAATCGGCAATGCAAGCATGGCATCTAGGGCTAGGGTAGGACTGTAAGAGGATTAAGGTACATTATACATAAAAATAAAGTGGTTGGGATTTCCAACTCAACATATCCTTGGTATTTGAGATATCTATAACAAAGTTCAAATCAATGTAGTCTTTTTATTATGCTTATATATATGCATTTTTATGTACTGTAGAATCAAGTTTGGTCATGTAATAGATTCTGGAGCTATAGGAATAGGATTGGGCCATAGTACAGACCTGTAGTGTACGTTCAGGGGTGGGATGGGGATTGGAGTATGATTTCACTATTTTCTGAGAAGAACCTTTAGCTGATAGTCATGCTTGGAAAGGTTAACTATTTACACTTTATAGTATATATCTATAGAGAGATGATTTAATTTGTATGACCCTATTTCTTCAATCAGCCATAGTTTGAATTTGTAATGATGTGTATTTCATATTGATTCAGCAGTTGTATCAGCATCATATCAAAGGAATCTGTATCAATGATATATCATTTAATAACCCAGTAATAAAAAGCCACCTTAATACAATACAGTGTTTATCTTTTGTGAAGGCAACAAGTACATGCTAGTAAAGTTTACAATTTCTCTGGTATATTTTACAACATTAATCAAAAAAAAAATAATAAATAAATGTAATAAAAAGTGTTAAAAAAGGTTGAAATTTGTTTTACAAAATGGTGTGGTCAACCTGTATTACTCCCCAGTTGTGTTTAATTATAAAGTTTATATATGTTAAAATGAAAAAAAATATATATACTGGTAAATAAAAAAAATATTAAAATCAGTGAGTTTCAGTTACAAACACAGCATATAACATATAGTAAACTAAGTTTACTGCAATGTACATGTAAATATATATATATATATATATATATATATATATATATATATATATATATATATATATATATATATATATAGATATAGATACATATATATATATATATATACCAAATAAATTAGAAAAAAATATGATCATGTATTTCATTACCTGGGTTCACTGACTAAAGCTATCGGTTGAGATAATTTAATGGAACATTTTTTTTTTTTGAAAATTCTAATGTTTAAAATCTTTTTTAGAATTACACAATACGCTGTTGATCAACATGTAAGACAGGAAGGATGGCCTAACTGAATGGAGAAGAAAGTAACGAGGGTCAGTCCAGCTGACCCCTCCGACACCATATCATACGAGATGGGGACCCCTAAACGCAACAAGAGTTTGGTCAGTCTCCATTTCAATGAAGAGGCAGTTGATGCCCAAAATGTTGGGGCTGCCCCTGAGGTAAGGTAGAAACTTTACAGTGAATTAAACTTCTTTGTCCTGGGATAATTTAATTCATATAAGCTTTTATAAACTGATTATAAGGTGTACCTTACCTCCTCTATCCTTTGCAGTTACCTATCAAATTATATTCTCAAACAAACATCGTAAGTTAAGCGATAATTCAGACTTAATTTTGATTATGGCGACAATGCAGAATGAACTTTCTTGACATCTTTTCTGAAATTTTTTTAAAGCATATGCAATTTCAGTTTAAAATTGAAATACAATATATGTAGTATTCTGATTATATATAAATATAAGCACAATGTTACTACATGTACATGAACATCTTTATAGTCTTACAGTTTACACTTTATAGTGTAGCTATGTCGAGAATTTTTGATACGATTAACCGACTAATCGGTCGGAACGTCTTGCGGTTAACCGATTGGCAATTTTGTATTTGATTGCCATCCCTAATGTATATATATGCAGAACCAAGTATAATGACATTTCCTGTAATATACAGTATGACCTTCAATTACAAATGGGTGGAGTAGCAGAGATAGTATAACAGTTTTCATAGATAATGGATTAATAGAGCAAAAGAACAAAACAAACCATAAATCCAATGGGATCAAAACGATTATCAATACCAGTCACACTTCAGCATCAATTCTATATACCTGCATAAATACTGATGCATGTCTGTATACATTGTCTCATTAAAAATGCACATGACTGGAGCCTGTCAGGAGATATAATTACGTAGAGTTTAATTATTTAGGTACATGTAGCATACAGTCAAATTAACTGCAATTCATTAATCCATTGCATTTGCAAGATGTAGATACTAGATAATAAATCTGAATAATGTAATTAAAGGTTGTAGAAACTGTCTATAGTTCACTGATTTTGTAATGGTGTATATATATATATATATAAGTACATCAGAGGACATATGTTCATTTGCATAATAAATGGCAAAACTATATGTATATATATATTTATATAATGTCATAAATCCAAAAACTCACTTTTTTCCTTATTACATTTTTTATAAACTACTAGATCTAGAAATTTTTATTGTGTCAACATTGACGCAACCACTTTTGCAGTATAATAATCATTGGTCAAACCAAATATAATTGTGATGTAAACCTTATACAATCTTTGATATACTAGGGGATTATATGATATATATATATATATATATATATATATATATATATATATATATATATATATATATATATATATATATATATATATAGATATATATAGATATATATATATATATATATATGACTTAACTTCAAAAATACCAGTACATTACTCCTAAAGCACATTTTCTTTAATTAAATAAAAATACATGAATCATAGTCATAAATTTCTCTGTGTTTTTGCAGGTGAATATGACCTTTGAACAAAGATGGATTCGTGACAACATCAAAATGAGGGTCTGTAAAAAGTTTGTAGAGAAACCAGTGGAGGTCAACAGGTAATTATAGCCAGTGATTGTGTCCTTTGAGCAAGTTCTGAGAATGTACATGCTACTAACAAAAGAAAACAAAATCACTTTTTGTTCAAGTTACAAAAGTGAACATAGCATTAATTATAGATCTACTGTCTTTTTTCCCCCAGTTATTTATAACAGTTAGTAGCCCAGGGCTCTCTTTAATGACGATGGACCTAATTCATTTCTGCAATAGATTTTTTATTCAAATTTTAATATGAGGTAAAGTGACTTTTGGTGAGTTAAAATCAATAAAAAAAAATCATGTGGTCATCGATGTAGATTTTTAATGGGGAGTGTTTCAAAAGTTGGCGATGGGAATCGATAATTACCATAGAAAGTAATGGGAAATTGCCAGTGTAGGGTATAAGAGTGATCATTGAAAAAATTCTGCAATAGAATTTTTATTCATATTTAAGGACAATGTTAACAAGAAATGTACCAGAAAATTATGCCACAAAATAAATGGGTCATCTGCTTAGATTTTTTAGGGGGGCATGTCAAACTCAGGTGTAGGGCACATTTTTGGGGAAATTTTCAATGAAAATACTTTGGCCAAATAAATCATTAATTCATAAAATCAACAAATGAATATAAATTGAAATATTTACAATATTTTTGAATTGAGAGGAAATGTTTGAATATCTTTAAAAGAATTAAAAATGACTGTATAATTTTTTTTATCTTTTGCAATCGCCATTTTCACAGTATTTGTGCTAATTGTGTTGCACTTGGACCAAAAAATAAAAATTCAAACAGCACATTATTGACATGTTTTCTAGAAAGTACAATACCTATGCAAATGAGTCCCAAATTTTTTTTATATAAGCATTCTTATGAAAAAAGTTATGCAAAGTCAAATTTTGGGCGAGACCTTGTGTTGCGGACACTACATTACACCTGTTATGTCTAAAATAAAATATTAAGGATATTTATTTATTCCAAACTTCTTGCGGGTTTTGATTATGTACCTAATTGCAGTGAAATAAAAGAAAAATCTTATGGTTCTCTTTGAAAACAAAAATTTTATTCACATTAATGACTTGCTAATTTTTTTGCCTAATTTATCTCCCTTCCTTAAGTTTATCTACTTTTACAATCACACATAAGACCTATATAATTATCATGTGAAAATTAAATTGAATACTTCTAAATTTCAAATACATTTGTCATAACACCCTGGATATCTTCGTTTGTATCTTGTCTAGCTTTGAAAATGCATGGCATTTTTGTTGCGGACACTACAAGTAACCATAAGAATAATCTTTTGTCATTTTTATAAAAATAATTGTTGATAAATGTTCATTTCTAGGCTGAATTATATACCACCGGATCAACTCTTGAAAATGTGTCATATAAAAAGATGCAGAATGTGGTTTATTGAGATGAAAATAACCACATAACAAGGACCATTAATTATTTCTTGATGTATAATTGTTTTGCAGTTTTAAAAAATGTCTATGATTTTACTTATTTTAAAACAATTAAAGAAGTTATAACAAATAGTTTTATAGATAAATTCAATGAATTAAAAATTTACTGAGGCATCCATAATTTTTTTTTCAGTATTGAAATTGTTGCGGACACTACAATATATTGAAATATTGCTATATGACACCATATTTGGTTTTAATGGAGTAAACTGAAAATCTTAATCTCTAACTAGTTCTATATGTACAGTAAATGGTGTTATATTATAGGGAAATAAAAAAGGCTAGTCAAAAATGGCTATCCGGCCTGGAAAATAAAACCCATATATATACCAGTAAGTTTGAAGTGTTATCTTGTACAAAAATCACCATTTGTTATCTTAATCCAGTTAACCAATTGTATTAATATCAAAGGAGCAAAATATCAGAGAAGTGTTTTACATTTCAAAAATATTTAATGAAATAAAAAGTGAAAATAATAAATGAATGTGGTATATAGTTATTACTGTAGTGTCCGCAACACAACTGTATTAATTAGAACTAGAATTATTAATTAACAATTAACATCTTGATATATTCTTTAGTTTCCACTTATTCAGTTTTAAATACCACATGAAAATTAACTTTCAATATATAACATAAGACTGACAATTGAAAGATTTTGAATATTATGTATAAACAAGTCGTTATGGGTGTTATTCAAAGTATGAAGTTATAGTTCCACTAAGTTTTGTAACCTTACATATTTGTATTGAATATTTGGACAATTATAGTGATGATCAATTGAAATCATGTTACATTTCTTTGAAGAAACTGTGAATTTAAAAAGCTGTTGCGGACTCTACAGCGTTGCGGACTCTACAAAACACAATATATTTGCCAGAATTCCAAGCAACACTGAGCTAAAGTCTGATATTTTTTGGTACATAGATTAGTAGCTGTACTGGCCTCTTACATGTAAAATAAAAGAAATATAATTCATAATGCATTCCAGAATAAGCACATGTTGCGGACACTACAGAATTTTGGGACATTTTTATGCCAGTAAGAAGAAAATGTGTCATTTTCTAAAGTTTCGAAGAATCCACTCAAACTTTTCTTTATTGTTTCATTTATCATTTAACTCTAATTTTAAAATGAACCTAAAGTAATAGTAATGCATTAACATATATTTTTTTAAACTGCAAGTTCAAACAGTAGAATTTTATTAAATTTCATAACATATCTGCATTTTCACATATTTAAACATTATTTCGCTAATATTTTGTTGATTTACATACAGTAAATTGCATATAAAAGAGGGATAATTTCACAATGATTTGACATCTATAACTAAGAGTTTCTATTGTAAATCTCCTGAAACAAGAACTGGAAAACAAAGCCATTTTTCAGCTGCAACAGCATAACGCAAAATATACCCCATATTTTAGGTAGTAAATCTTAAATATTTTTATTGTCTAGAACATGGGAGTGTTATATATCATTTAACTTGTTAGGGGTACCATTTTGTCATAATTTGGTCATAATTGTTAAGGGTTTAATCATATATTTTGAAGCAGAGTGCATTATAACATAAGTGAGTATGAAAAAACACAAATACTGTGAAAATGGCGAATACATAATCAAGTCAATTTGATTCAAGGCATATGTGCAGTTTTCTGCGCAGTGGCGCGAAATTTCGAATTAGGTCCGTTGTCCTTCAATGCATTTATTCCTAAAAAAAATCTACCTCCCAAATCATGAATTTATTATAAATGCATCTCTGGGGGAAAAAAAAAGCTTTGGATTTGTCCGATGTAATATTTGTTTTGATCTGAGAGGATTAAGAGTGCTGTGAATATAACTATATATACGTACATGTATTTCCACTGTGCATTTATCCAATATTTGCAAATACATGGTAATTTAAGGCTCATTTGTGAATATAAAAATATGCATAATAAGTTGTGATTGAACATGTCATCATAGACTGTTTTGTGAGAAAAGGAAGTTTGAAATGGAACAAGGTTTTCATATTCTAAGAATTAGACATTGTAGTTCTATACAGAATTGTGTTCATATACAATGATGTGCACTGAAGTGGTAAAATTTTTCGTTTTAATGGAACGTTTGGGTCTTGTTATCGAATGTCATTTGTTACATAATGACATACCTTTTTCTTTAGAATTGAGAAAGCAATATTCATTGTGCTGGCACAATGATGTAAGACACCCCACTCTCTGAGACTAGCAACACAAGTTTTCCTGAAATGGAGATTTCATATACTGTAGATTTGCAAATAATCACTATGGTTTTAATTTTGCTATGTTCGTGATCCATCATTTTTCCGCGAAATTAAACCCATCGTGAATGCTATCATTAGTTTTTAAAAAAACATGTAAATGCTTATATGAAATTTAAATTAATTTCTTGCAGCGAGAAATTAAAAACTATCGCGATTGGTACTCTTTGAGAAATCGTGAAATTTTAACAGCGTGGAATTAAAACGGCATACAGTATTTTTGGCCAGAGAGCTAGAGACTCCCTACTTCTGTAAAACTCAAGTATTGCATTGATTATGTGCATGATTACATGTATGCATTTGTCATGTCTATTGAAGTTATCACAACAGTGTGTAGATCCAACACATGTCTCGTCTACCCAGTGTTTATGTAGCTGCCAATCTGATAGTATCTGATTGAATCTCTTGTATTTATAGAATACCTCTTCTTCAGGTATTCAAATGAAGCATGTGAGAAAAATTTATGAGAATCAAAGACTTTCTCCCTCTCTGTGCATACTGGCGTCTCTCTGCCCACTAGACCCTACAATAAATCCTTTTCTCCTTTCTGGGCATGTCATTATGCAAAAACAACAATAAGAATAAGAAATTAAAGCTTAAAATGTTTCATTCAAGCAAAAATTTTACCACTTCAGTGTGCATCATTGTATTTAGTATGTATACATCTTTTGTATTGACATCAGGGGAAGAAAACCAGGCCAAACAAACCAGGCTATACAAAAATGTATTGTAATGATCTACTCCCCCACTAGATTTGTTCACAAGATCTAGGCTCTCTTTTTTCTGTTTAGATAATAAAATATTCAATAGGTTGTGAATTGAACATGGTTAATTTACAGGCATAATTGTGCTAGTCTAGTTGTTTGTATTGATGATTTATGAAGAGATGAGTTAACGAATGAAATTTGAGAACTTGGTAACAAGGTTTAATATTTTAGTGGAGTATTCAATATAATTGTAAAATCAATACATTTGCTTTAAAACTCAATGTGTGTCAATTATCTGCAGTTGGAATTTGTTAAATACAGTATAAATAGATCAACATACAGGCTCTGTATGGTACTTGTAATGTTTATATAGAAACATGTTTCAATGTATTCTCTGATTTATCTAGATATGTGCATTAATAGCAAATGTCCTAAAATATATGTTTCATTGTCTTAATTCTGTTTTATATTGTGGTAAATTACGTGTTTTATACTGCAGATGTATTACACATGCAACTATAAACATATCAAACAGGTTCAAAGTTGCTTTATAGATAATTTATTTTTTGCATGGACGTCATAATCTTCCATTAAATGATCAATTCATTATTTGGTTTATGGCTTCTTCTTTCAAGTGTTCTGTTACACTTTTTTGATTGTGTATTGATTGATTACTCTCACAGAATCCGAACAGTTTATGTTTTTTAAAAAATGCTTATCAATAAATGTCTTACTCATGTTACTTGCATGGTAAAATGAAAGTTGATCAATGTTGCCTGTGAAAAAAACCTAAAACATTATTCCTTTTTTTAAAAACAAAAATTAGTAATTATGTTAGCATTTCCTGAAATTTTTCTCTTTATATGGCTCAATATCTTTTTTTAGCTCACCTGAGCCAAAGGCTCAAGTGAGCTTTTCTGATCAAAATTTGTCCGTTGTCTGTCGTCGTCATTGTCGTCGTTGGCGTCGTCGTCGTTGTCGTAAACTTTTCACATTTTCATCTTCTTCTCCAGAACCACTGGGACAATTTCAATCAAACTTGGCACAAAGTATCCTTGGGTAAAGGGGATTCAAATTTGTTCAAATGAAGGGCCACTCCCTCCTCAAAGGGGAAATAATTACGAAATAGCAAAAAATTAATGGCATTATTGAAAAATCTTCTTCTTAAGAACCCATGGGCCAGGAAAGATGAAACTCATATGGAATTATTGTCAGGTAGTGTAGATTCAAGTTTGTTCAAATCATGACCCCGGGGGGTAGGGTGGGGCCACAATGGACGATCAAAGTTTTACAGAGGAGGATATAGGAAAAATCTTCAAAAATCTTCTTCTCAAGAACAGCAAAGCTATGATTGGTCATATTTATATGGAAGCATCCTCATGTGGTGTAGATTCAAGTTTGTTCAAATCATGACCCCCGGGGGTAGGGTGGGGCCTCAATGGACGATCAAAGTTTTACCTAGGAATATATAGGAAAAATCTTCAAAAATCTTCTTCTCAAGAATAGCAAAGCAATGATTGGTAATATTTATTTGGAAGCATCCTCAGGTGGTGTGGGTTCAAGTTTGTTGAAATCATGACTATCAGGGGGTAGGATGGGGCCACAATGGACGACAATTAAAGTTTAACATAGGAGGATATAGGAAAAATCTTCAAAAATCTTCTTCTCAAGAACAGCAAAGCTTTGATTGGATATATTTTTTTGAAAGCATCTTCAGGTAGTGTAGATTCAAGTTTGTTCAAATCATGACCCCCGGGGGTAGGGTGGGGCCACAATGAACGTTCAAAGTTTTATATAGGAATATATAAGAAAAACCTTTAAAAATCTCAAGAACAGCAAAGCCACAGTTTGTAATATTTATATGGAAGCATCCTCAGATAGTGTAGATTCAAATTTGTTCAAATCATGACCTCCAGAGGTAGGGTGGGGCCACAGTGAAAGTTCAAACTTGTAGAGAAGAAAGTCACAGTTAGTCAAAAAATTATGTAAGCAGTGTAGATTTAATTTTGTTCAAGTCATATCCCCCCCCCCCCACTCCCTTTTAGGGGTAGGTTGGGACCATTTATGCATTTAAGCTTTTCAATACTAAACTGATTTTTCCTTTTTTCCTGGCAACAGTGCTCAGGTGAGCGATGTGGCCCCTGGGCCTCTTGTTTTATTTCATAATTTCATTTGATCATAGAAGCAAATACATGTATCAAATATCTTTCTTGTCCTGTCTATATAAATATAAGATCATATTTTATGTTTTTGTGTTATTTGGCATTATTTTACTGTGTTTTGATTGGTTACTTGGCAGTATTTTACTGTGTTTTGATTGGTTATTTGGCTTCATTTTACTGTGTTTTGATTGGTAGTGTTTCATTGCCTCCCGTCAGAGTTCCAGGCAAGGGTCTCCTAGGGTAAGTCTTGAACACTGTCAAGATTTACTTTTTGCCGGATTGCTAAGCAAACAAGGTTTTTAGATTTATGATGTCCAACTCCTTATGATTGAAGAATACTGTCTGTCACTTGATTGCATCTTGTAAGATACCTTGTCCTTGTAGGCTAAGAAAAAGTTTTCCATGACCAGCTGTCCAATGGTAAAAGTACATCAAAGTCCTATAATTTTGTTGCTTGATGCTTTCACTCATGTACCCTTTCTTTACTTCATGTTGAACCAAAGAAATATACCTCGCCATAAAAAAATCTCATGTAAGTTTGTATATATGCAGGTGCCCAATAGTAATCACATTTTAGGGTCACATGGTGAAAGGTCAGGGTCAAAAGGCAAGATAATTAATATGACCAATGTGATAAGCTTGGATTGGATATTTTTTATAGTGAATCTTCTTATTTACTCCCTAGGTAGATAATGTTTTGATGAAGATCGACATCTATTGATTTTGGTGTCTCCATTAAAGATCAAGGCCAATGGTTGAGACTGTTGATTTGGTTAATGACTAAGACTTGCATAGTTGATGGGAGTAATTGTATTTCAGGATGTATAATCAGATTTTCAAAATAATGTGACCAATGTTTTTGATTTTAAGGTCATTCTGTCAAAAAGCTTATTTTATTACAAGCACACATTTGACTGGCACTAAAGCATTGATTATGTTATTTTTAACTTGCAAACTTTATAATTATTCACTACATAAATAGAGATATACATGCAAATTTTGAGGCCTCTCTCACAAAGATCATGAAGTCAAGATTAATGATATAAGTGCACTGCAGGACCCAGTATGACTCGGACTTTGTCAGTTTTCTCTTTATCAAGCGTTTACTGGATACTATCACCAATGCATAACGGTGTGTCTACTCAAAGACAATATCAGTGGAAAATTTTACTTGTCACCAGAGACGTGTTGCAGGGAAAATTACTCATCTTCAGTAGATTCAATTTAATTTATCCAGGTGAACTTTAAAGTACTTTTTAGTTCACCTTGTGGAAGTTGCAATATGCTTATGCTATACAGCTGCCATTGGTGTCAGCATGCATTGCTATATGAATAAAGTTGTAGGAGCAAGTTCAATTCTAAGTAACTATAATCCCAACTTGGACCAAACTTGCATGGATGATGCATTTAGGGATACACACTCACACACATGCTCCAAAAAATTTAACCTGGTCAATCATCTGAAAAATGTAGGTCAAATCCTTGGTCACTCATCTGGAAAATGTAGGCCAGATTCAACACCAAAAGCATGTCTGGTAATATGCATTCCTAGATGAATCATCCATGGAAGTTTTGATACCAAAGGACTTTTAATTACTAAGGAATGGACCTGCTTCAAATACTTTAACCTTGTCATTCAAAAAATGTAGGTCAGATCCAGCATCCGAAGAAAGTCTGGTAGTGTGTATCTTTACAGTTATTAAATGTTATTTGCAACTTTCCCAACTTGGTCTTGCATGGATGGTGCATCTAGTGATGCACACAACAAGACTTGCTTTTTATGCTGCATGTGACGTACATTTTCTGCATGAGTAACAGGTTTAGTTTTTAAAGCAGGTCCATTCCTACATGTAAGTTACTATTAGCACTATGGTGCCTGAATTTGCATGGATGGTGCATGTAGGGATGCTCACTACTAAGGCTGCATCTTACCTATACATTTCCAGATGAGCGATAGGTCTAAGTTTTTTGAACAGGTTTATTCCGGAGTAACTGTAAAGTCTACTTGGACCAAACAATGCATGAATTAAGTATTTGAGGATGCACACTACCAGACATGCTTTGGATGCAGCATTTGATGTACATGGATGATCTGACCTACATTTTCCAAGTAATTGAAATAAAGTTTTTGGAGCAGGTCTCTTCCTAAGAACTACATGCACTAATCCTACCCAGACCAAACTTGCTGTGATGTTGCAACTTGGTATGCACACTAACAGAGCATTCATTTGATGTGAGACTTTGCCTTGCTCATAGATAACATTCATCATGTGAGCTTCTTTATCTTTGATTACCTCTGTTTTCACCTAGAGTAGACGTTGACCCTTGACTTGCAAGTCAGTATTTAAGTGATGCAAATATGATTTAATGTGTTTTGAGTTGACTGACCTTGATCTTTAATACTAAATTGATATGTGATATGCAGGACACATAATTAGTTTATCATTAGTATGTAGGTAATATATCACTGCACACAATAATCATAAGATTTTTTTATCATTTAAATTATGAATAAGCTTAGCAATCCGGGCATACCATCTCTTGCTCGCAGTTTCTTGTTAAAATTGGCTTTACAAGTACACTTTACATTTGCTGTTCAATCTTTTTTCTACCCTTTGCACAGGAGTTCAATATATTCATGACCTTTATAGGATCATCCTCATGATGATACATTTAAGGAGTAACTGTCTAGTTGTTTGGTTTTATGATTTGATCAATCAGTTTGCAATTTGCATAAAAGCTGAAGGCATTTATGCATTAAATTATTACTTGTGCAAACTGATTCAGAATCAGAAAATTTTATTTAAAGTCGGATCTTCAAACAAATAACATAAGCTCTGTAGAGCTTTTGACAGACATGGATTGATCATTATCATAAAAACCCCAAACCAGACAATTTTTCCTTATATTTACATTTTCACATGATCCTTGATTCAATAAGAAAAATATTTTTATCCAATAATGAAAAATCTCTGCAGGCCCCACCCAGTGTATTACTAATCAACACACAGCAAGAAAGCATGGAGTTTTGTCATGTGCTGAGCAATTAGCGCTTTATGAGGACATGAAGCTATCACCTTATTTGTAGTTTTATCTCGGACACATTTGCAAATGTAAATATTAATCATTATAAGCTTGCAGCATGCACATTTAACAAAGAAAATTGTGGAATAATAATATGATGGTGATGATATTATTTGTTTGCACTATATAACTTGAAACCTCTCTTATCGATATTTAGACCTATGCATTATATTCAGATAAACTTATATGTGTCAAAAATTTCCCAATCTTTGGCATTTAAAATTATAGATTGCTTTTATTGCTTTGCAGTTAGATTTGCTGCTTATTGTATAATTATTTATATCTTGTTGCTCCACATGAGCAATTTAAGGTGATATGCCAAGTGATTTTGCAGACTGCTTTGTCTTTTATAAAATGTTTACTTTGTGATACATTGTAGATCTGTGTAATCATGCAATGAAAATAATTCTTTTCTTGGCCATATTAGGGCCTAATGTTAAGGTTTTCAGCAGACTGAAATGAATGTTAATTGTTACAGCATAAAATTTTGTTTCAAAAATTAAAGCAGTATTAGTCCATCATGAAATATTTCTCAATGGACAAATATTGATAATATATGCTTTTGTATTTTTAGTTTCTGCAGTGTCATTAAACAATGAAAAGCATAATGTATATATATATACCTTGTTTACATAGATTTTTATCTTTTACACAAGAAAAAATCAGTATGCAATTACATGTATTCTTTCAGATATAGAGCGTAACAACTATTATTGATTCTGATTATATCCATGCACTTAGTATCATATTTTATGACAAACACTCTCTGAATGAATTGCTTACAGCAATTAAGTATCAATTTTTGTCATAAAGTAGAACAAAGTTATGAAATACTGAAAGTGTACATGTACATGTACATGTATCACACTTGCAAACGATTTAACCCTGTTTCAAAGTTGTGTTAAAAGATAGACAACTCCTTTTCTGATGAGTATTTCTCTGTTTTAAATTTATCCACTTATGACAAGGATGAAAGGGGTCAAAATAAAATGGGGGCAAACATTTCCCTGTATATAAGCAGTAATTAAGACTCAGTTTGAGAATTATTTAACGAAGTTGGATCCTGATATTTAAAGTCTTAAACTTTTTTTGTCAAGTATAATTTTAGTTTCTACACACATAGCTTAATTAAAAATCAAAACAAAACATGGGGGTCAATACGCTTCTTTTGGCACTACAGTACATTTAATATGACCTTTTTGCACTGAAATTTGTGTCTTAATCAAAAATCACGTCTTCGATGTTTTCCCTCCAATGTTTTTATTTAAATAAATCATGGGACAAATTAAACTATTAGTCTATTTAAAAAAAGACACTTCAAAATTGTGACTAAGAAAAAGTTTCAAATTGCTACGCATAATCAATTATTTGACCTTTCTGCACTCAAAAAATGTGATTTTTCTGGCATTAAAAATTTAGCAAGCAAGAAAATTATTTTAAAATCTTAAACTTTTTTCTGAATTTAGGCAGATTGATCAAAGTTATCTTATATATTCAGAAAAGAAAAACAAAAGTGGGGGTCTATGATGTAAATTTTTAGATATTACTAAAAAAGTGTTAATTTTATGTCAAGCCCGTTATGAATAAATTATCCCACGTTTCCAACTATCATTGATGTCCCTGGCATACTCTACTAACTAGACAGTGATTCCTTATATTTCCATTTCATTGTAAAATAAAATTGTAAATTTAGATTTTAAAAATGTAGACTAATAGATTTAAATTACACGAGGCCTCACATGTCAATTTCAATAGTCACCGCCCACTGACGTCAAAAACAAAGACAGCCACACGAGAATTACATGCAAATTAGGCCTCCTTAGAGTCAGACACAAAGACAGCCACACGAGAATTACATGCATATTAGGCCTTCTTCGCTCCTGACCTTTCGCTTGGCGAAATTTGCATTCTGGTAGAATGATCAAGAAATCAACTCTCCTAACTTTCAAAGAGTTTTCACAGAGAAAACAAATAGAAATGGAAATATTATCTGCTAAGTATCTGAAGTTGTTTGCTTTGGTGAACAATGTGTGCAATTAGGATGTCCTATTGTTTGATATCAATGAAAATGTACTTTTGCAATGGCATAAAGAGCTAGGTTCACTTTATGCTTAAAATGGCCCTGTCCTTATATCAATTAATTGACTATCACCCTCTGTCCCATTTCATATATCAAAATAAAGTAGAGACTTAGTGCTTTCATTTCCTATAACTACATTTCTTTTTGAGAATCCAGGTATTGGAAAACAGGCTTTGAGAAAATGCAATGTTCTTCAATTTTGCAGAAAACATGCGAATTTGACTACCTTCAGCAAAGAATTAAAATATGAGCACAGTCCACGATCCAAAAATTAAAACATGTTTTGAAATCTTCAGAAACAGATCTTTGATTGTGTAATTGCATATTTTGGATCAGAGGTTGTGCTCTATATGAAATATTGAAAAAATACCTCAACTTTTGGCCATTTTTAAGGGAATTTACCAGATATGGGAAAAATGACGCATTTTATGACGTCATAATGCATTGACTAGAGAGAAAATTACGTCATGTTCAATAGATACACGGTCAACAAGGGTCCAAGTTATAGATACTGGATTTTCAACCAAAATTGAGCAGTTTCGATTTTACAGAAATTCTCAGGGCCAAAAAAGGCCCTAAGTGGCTCCTGCTCTTTGTACACTAAATTATGACAGAGTAATGCTAAAATTCCATAAAATTTGCAAAATAATACCTTTCTACCTTTTTTTCGTGTAAATATAGTAACTAGGTAGTGGATTTCTTGTGTACAAAGATACTAAATGCCAATCAATGTTACTGAACACCTAGCTGCAACAGTTGCAAAACTTAGCTTGAAGTACCTGAAGTAAACTAGCTGTGTTGTGAATTAAAGAAGAAGAATAAGCCCTTGAATAGCATCTGATGGTCCCTGTTATGGTTAGCACTTAGTATCTGTGACACTGTATTTTCTTTATTGTAGTGCTGGGGCAGAGATTGAAGCTATATGTAAATGTGGCTACCTTAGATCTGCCCACATGTCCTTACTGTCCTCTCCGGGGTCCTCAGGACTCGAAGAATGGAGGGTAGAGACTAACACCAAGGCAGTCAGAACCAATGCCTTTGGCACGGTTGAGTTTCTTGGGTTTGGAGAAAATGAGAGAAATGTGAGTAAAATGGAAACGATATTAATTTGGAGTTCGAAACATAACTACTTCTAATTGATTTACAAGTTTGTTTTTTTTAAGACTAATTGTTAAACTGGTTATTTATGTACATGCAGTCTCAAGTTTATTTGAAATATTATATATCATTATTTACATGTGTTTACTTTATATCATGATAACTTAGGGAGGGATTCTTCTCATAAGAATACTTATTTCTTATATTTAAAAATCAATGAAATTTTCACAGAATCAAGAAGACAATATCACTAAGTGATGGTATCAGCTAGATTAAATTTGACCGTTTTATATTAGAGGCAAGGTCAGGTCAAGGTCAGTACCTTTTCCCTGGACATTAAGAATAAAAAAATACTGTTGCCAATCATGTGATGCCTACTTCTTTTTCAAAAAATTAAATTTTTTTCTTTTTGCATAAAAAGATATTACCACATAGCGTCTATAAGATGATATTACCAAATTGACATAAATAATTTAACTAAAATGGATATTGGTTAATCCGAATTTTCTCTATTTTTCTTAAAATTTTAAGATATTTTAGTTATCTTTATATGCTTCCTATATTTAAATTTTTCTTATTTTCACATATGGTAAAGTTGTCACATAAAGATACAAAATGATATAAAAATAAAAAGTTTTGACCGTTTACTAAGAGAGAAAAAACACTTTTTACGAATTTTTGGCTCAAATCTGAACTTAGATTGGAAGCTTCTAAAAGCTAACATAATTGTAGTTTGTTTTGAAAATCATATTTATTTGATATATTTTAAAACTTTAGGTTCTTATTATTAATCTAACTTATATTTAAAAATATTTCCAAGTTTTTGATTGTGTAAAAATTATAATTAAATTCATTGTTCTCTAATTATTTTGAGAGGCAGAAAAGAAGATATTTTCATACGCCGCCATTCCGCCAAAAATATAGTCCCTGCTAGATTTCAAACTCAGTTTACCATTTCTATTTAAAGTTGAACAATTGTGATGAGGAAAGAAAAATATGATCTTTTAAATCTCTTACATCTAAATATATAAAACATATAAGCAAATATACTTTGAATATTTCATCTAGTCAGAAACCAGACAAGAATCCCTCCTTAACAAAACTATTTCCTGGTGGAAGTAGAAACAACAATTAGCTGCATGGGGGCAATGTGCTGTTGAATACATTGGGAGCTTGTCCACTATAGAATTTAAAAGTACATATAAGAAAGAAGTCCTGGTGAAATATCTTGCTAAATGTTTGGTGCACCACGCTGATAAAATTTAGGAGATGCTAGTTGTGTTACGCTTTTGTTATACTTTCTTGTTAAATAGTCAGCTTTGATTGGTTTGAAAACATTTGTTAAAAAGTACTTTAAAATTCAACTGTTTCTTTTTGATAAACATTAATTTTGCATCAAGATCCAGAAGTCTAAACATTCTGAATATGATGACTTCTGAAGTGCAACCATTGGCAATACTTTCAGCTTTATCATTGTTTCACTGTCACTAGTGTAACAATATGTTATGCCCCAAAAATGATGTGAGATTTAGAGCTTTCTTTCTTTATTGCAAAAGATCGATAGCAATCGTGTTACTAAGTATTGTCACTTTCTTCATAAACATAAGTAAAAATTAATTCTAAAATAGCTATTGTGTTTCACTACAAACAGGTCTTTTTAATGTTTATTTAAAAAAGTGAAAGATATACAAAAAATGATAGATATTATTTAATTACCTTACAATTAATCACATGACAGTATGTACGTGTGGACGTTAACACCAAGATGGAAGACATGATGGAGCTAATGATGGACGTGTGGGGTCTGGAAAAACCCAACCTTCTAATCTCAGTCACAGGTGGTGCCAAAAACTTTACTATGAAACAGAAAATCAAAGAGGAGTTCCGCCGCGGTCTCATGAAGGTGGCACGCAGTACAGGTAAATAATGTAGTTTTGTGTGTAGTTGTCCACAAGTGTGAGTACATAAGAGTAAATTACAGTTGAACTTTGGTATCTGGAACACTGATATCTCGAATACCGTGGATATGTCAAAGTGAATTGGAAGTCACAACCCCTTATTCTCTAAGTATTTTACCCTGCCTGGATATCTCGAATCCTCAGATATCTTGGAAGTTTTTTTCTCAGTTCCATTGAGTTTGAGATAACAAGATTTGACTGTAATCTTAATAGGAGCAGAGGGTCAAAGCTTTTATTCCTGGAAACCTTAAAACAGAAACTTTGATAATGATGAGGACTGCTGATTTCCAATTTGAAATAGAAGTGATAGTTAATATGTAGATGCCTATATATAGCTAGATATTTAACATGGTTGCCTGTGATACATTCAGTGAAAACTGGTATCTTGAACTCATAGGGCCAAGAAAAAGACTTGTAGGTATTGGAGGATTTAAGATATTAACTGGTTAAAATGCAAAAAGAAGTGGTTAGAATTATTAAACTCACTGACAAATCCATGGATTTTGAGATATCAATGTTTAAGATATACTGAATTCAACTGTATATGTAAAGAATAATCAATCAATTGCTTAACATACTGAGTTCGACTGTGTATGTAAAGATTAATCAGTACTCAGACGTAAGGTCATGTGGCTTAAAGATATGAATTAGCATTATTCATCTTGTCCTTTTTGATCTTGCAACAGGTGAAAATACCTTTACTTCAAATTGCCTGACAGTATAGATTTGAAATAGTTTATGACAGCAAATTTAAATCTGAAGTCAGATAATAAATTCGAATTAGAATATACTGATATGTGATTTTGTTGTAACAGGAATTTATACTGTACATAGCATTATTATTTTTAAGCTGAGCTGTCGCAGTTCTTCTTTTAGTCTGTATAGTTCTGTTTTCTAGGTGCCTGGATCATTACGGGAGGGACAAATGCAGGGGTGATGAAGCATGTTGGGGAAGCTGTCAGAGATTATGGGCTAGTGTCTGCCTCTACTAACCCCATCATAGTCATAGGAGTGGCAACTTGGGGATGCATACAAAACAAGGAGGACCTCATTGATCCTGAGGTAACCTCCCTCTTTCTTTTTTTTTTTTAAATCAAAATGGAAAAGAATCCAAACTATATGAACTGCAGAAGATTTAGCAGAAATGTGTTGATGTTATTTTTTTTTTCAATTGTTCTTCAATTACTGAGATTTTTTAATGATTTTAAAAACATTTATCCAAAGTTTGATGTGAATGACAGTTTACTGCAAGATACAATTATTTATTCTATCAGTGCCGAGGAAAGTGGCCCGCTTCATACAGACTAGGCAAAAAACAGAGACCAAAGGAAAGTTTCCTGGACCCGAATCACACTCACTTTGTGTTGGTTGACAATGGAACTCAGCATCAGTTCGGAGTGGAGATTCCATTCAGAGCCCGAATGGAGAACTCCATAGCAAACATGAAAACCAACACTGGCAAAAGTGAGATTGATAAATGATATAACTTGTATTCTAATTTCTTAGATATAGTTTCTTTTGATATACATGTGTCATAAAAGTTTTTTTTTTTTTTTTAAATTATTAAGACTACTCAGTATTATAAGTAAAGTAACTGTAAAAAGGTAAATGTACTTTGAATTAGGTTGTGATGATACTAGTATTTACTAGATAATGTATTTAAAGCCAGCTTTAAGGCAATGCTGTGAGGCCGAAGATCTATAACATTTATATTGAAATCAGTTTTTTTTATTTATTAAAATGAGGAAGTGAGCATATACAAATGTTAAAAAAGAACAAACAACCAAACAAAAAAAGGCCACCTCTTTATTCTCTTTCTGACTGAGCTTTTCAAATCAACTAAGGTCTGTCATGGCAAATTACTGTGAAATCGCTAATTTCCAATGGGGGGGGGGGGGGTAATTTTTGTTGCTTAAAGAGACCCACAACATCAAGTCCACCACAAAATGTTAAAATTTTCTACAGTATTATGTTTGCTTACCAGCCTGGAAATCAAATCCCCAGGAACCATTATTTTTTTTCCTCAAACCACAAAAATTTTACCCCTTGAAGTGTTAGGGAAGTTAAAAATTTATTATTCATTGAACTTTTAATTTAGATTGAATATTTGATTGTACAAATCGTAATACGCAAATTTCAAGATTATAACTCTCCAACTATAGAGGCACAAAAAGTATCCATATCAGCATGAAAGTGGAACAGGTTGTTGATATATACAAACCAGTATAAATAAATGAACAATGGCTAGGGCTTTTAAAAGTCATTTAATGTGATAGAAAAATGATAATGTCAAGCAGTGATGATTCTGATGATATTATTGAGCTCTGCTTTACATGTTTACAAAATCTACTTTCAATATTAGAATACTTGAAAACAAAAAAAAAACCTGTCATTGTCTTTGTGAAAAAGACGCTTCCTTAATTGTACAAACTGTTCTAAAAAGTTAGTGGGCTCCTTCAAGTTATTATAAGAGGAAGAGTCGGTGTGTCATTCAGAATGCAGACGTGCAATGATCAGATGTGCCTGTTTTTATTAGAGATCCATATCTTGTTCCTCCTCTGATGAGTCTTATTCACTGTGATATTTTCTTTTGTTCCAATTTTTTCGTAGAAAAAAAAAACGCCTTTTAAATTTGGTAATTTTTGAGTTGAAGAGTTCATCCCGACAATCAGTTATGATAGACGGGAAAATTGATGATGTAACGTATCTAATATAAATTACTGTCCTACCTGCCGGTTTACACGGAAACAAAACTCCCCTCTGTAAAGAAAGAGTGCACGATGGGAGATAATTTTGAAACTTGTGTATTGTCGTATCCATTTTCTTGGGCTTGAAACAAGTATTGGTATCAAGTCATGACTGTTAAAAATATGTTTCATTGTTTGATAATTATTATGTTATCAGACATTGTGTAATGCTTTGTTTAATTTGGTCAGATTGTGCTTTGAGGCAGTTAAACCTTGTGCTGTGTCTGTGTATGTGACCTCATTGACATTAATGAAGTAATACATTTGCATCTGCACAAATTAAAACGTATGAAATAAAACGTAAACCCAGATTTTAATACTCTTAGCTTATGAGAATTTCTAAATTTTTTTATTTGGTTAAACTTTAAAAGAAGTTTTTATAAGTATAATCTCTCTGCCATTTAATTTTATTAAGACATCTTTAATAATAACCTAAATGAGTGAGGAAACAAAAGTTTCTGACATTTTACTTGACATATACTGGTACATTGAACTGTAATACCTTTAATTATATGCCCACTGCAAAACAAAGTTTGAGGGGGCTGGTACCTATATAGAATTTCTCTTCAGTCTGTCTGTGTCAGTGCATAACTTTGTAACGGAGACACAATGGAAGCTCATACTTGCTACAGAGATTTTCTTATGAGCTAACGATATGTTCTGATCTTGACTCTAGGTCAATTGGGGAAGTTTAAGGTCACTGGCAGAAAAAAATTGAAATGACATGTATCCTGTCCATAGCCCTCTAATAAAAAAATATGGAAGGTTGATACTTCACACAAAAATTAGTCGTGAGCTTAGTTGTGTGTTGACCTTGAATCAAGGTCATTTTGGCAAGTTCACTTTTAGAAAAATGTATAATATCTGTCATGGTCATATCTTGTAATTGTGAAGCATCGGAAGCTCCTTCTTGGCACAAAGATTCCATACATGTATTAGCTAAGGCTGTATTTGGACCTTGACCAAGGTCATTTGGGGAAGTTCAAGGTCACCAGCAGAAAAGCGTATAATCTGAGTCTGGTCCATAAGACTTATTATAAGAAAGAAACAAATGCAGCACTTTAAAAAAAAATTCCATTGGGGGTTATAATTTAAATGTGAGCTGGCATATAGTACATCAATCAGATTAATAATCCTCATACTGTATTGGAAAATAGTACATGCTGATATTTCACAGTGACCAGATAGATGAATCTGCACATTGCATGAGTGATTGTATGCAAGAGGCAAAAAAATACTAAGTACATGTACTACCTTGACTGTGTTCAGAAAATACATTAAGAACTAATGAATCACAATTTTAAATGTCTGCATTATAAGTGACCTTAACTTTGGTAGTGTCTTTTCGAGTGAAATGATTTATTTTCTTGTTTGTATCGTTTAGATGCCTCTGTATATGTCCCTGTGGTACTGCTAGTTTTAGAGGGTGGTCCAGGTACATTGGAAACAGCCCACCAAGCTGTAGCCAATAACACACCTATTGTCATAGTTCAGGTATTGTAAGATTTATATGATATTCATTGTACATTAATTATTATTCTTTAACTACATGTAATTTTTTTTAGTTTAGGTGTATGTGCTATTTCAAGAAAGTACATTACTAATGCTATCATACATTTTATGATATTATTTTAATTAGTTATGTAGTTCATCTTTTCAAGTACATGTAGTTTTAATCATGCATCCACTACTTTTTCATTTTAAGAAAGAATAAGATTGAGTTATGTCTCTTTGCTTATGTATATATGGAGCTCTTGAGTATTACATTGCAATTGCATAGTAAATATTTGTGACATTGTGAATAATTGGAGATAAACTTCCTTTGTAGGGTTCTGGAAGAGCAGCGGACATTTTAGCTTTTGCGTACCAGAATTCCTCAGGAGAGGAAATAGAAGCTACAGATCAAGAGGGCAAAACAAAAAAGATGTAAGGGAACTTGTTCCAGAAAGTGTGACTGCATTTTTGTACTTTTTCCCTACCTTTTGCCATGAAATGATTCAAAGATTTCCATTAATATTATGACGTTGACTTACTGATAATTTTTTTTTATAACTTCAGGGATGTGCAATTACAAAAATTAAGCACTAGCCCATGGGCTAGTGGCAGCAATAAAGTTACTAGCCCCAAATAAAAAGTTACTAGCCCAAATGTAGGGGGAATAACAACTAATATTGAAAAAAAAATAGTTTATTGTTGAAAAAGTCCGGGCTTTAATGTCATTCTTTTTAAAATTAAAGTTTAATTCTCCCAAATATATTTTGTGTAAAGCACATAACATTTATCTTTCAATTGATTGAGTGATCGTAAATAATTTAATGAGATATCTGCATGTATTTACTGTAAACAGAGGAATGGAGGAAATTCGGATTAGAAAAAAACTATCGTTTTTGGAAGTAAATAAGTCAGGTAGTACTGCAAAATGGATAAGATTATGGAGATTTACGAACAATAAGAGCATGCTGCCTGGAAATTTTTCATTGGTTGGGAATTTAATAGCCAAAAATGAGTGAAAATACCGATAGTGATTTTCATGTTTTACGTTGGTAGTTTTAATATTTACTAGCCCAAGGGGCTACATCGGTTCAGAAAACTACTAGCCCGATCCCAAAAAATGGTAGCCCCGGGCGTCGGGCGATGCTAATTGCACATCCCTGAACTTTAGGAAATAGCATCCAATAACAAATAGAAGACTGAGATATTTTATCCTGAGATATTGTATTACAGAACACAGACAATATTTGATGCCTCAGTAGAAGCAGAAATAAGAAATCAGGTGGAAGAGAATTTTGGGAAGAAGAATCTTGTCAGTTACTGCGAGATGGTGAAGGAGACCCTGAAAAATCGAGACCTGATCACGGTGTTTGAATTTAGTATTGGAGGTCGAGGGTCATCCAAAGATATTGACAAGGCCATTCTCCAGGCACTACTCAGGGGTGAGTTCCTAGTCTTGCCTGCATGAGGTCAAGGACAGAGAAAGAAGTTTAACAATTATTTCAACTTTCAAGGACAGAGAAAGAAGTTTAACAATTATTACAACTTTTATGAAAACTATGTTGTAGACATCAATTTCATTTTCTCTGATTATATACATGTATTTCTTTAAGTTGTAGGGTTTCAATGCATGTCAAATTCTCTGCTTATTTAACATATGTTTAAATTTTAATAAATATCAGATTGATTTAATTATAATTTTTCAAAATGAAATAATAAAATCAATTTCAATTTTTTTTTAACAGCAAATAAGGATCAGATCTTTGACCAGTTAAAGTTAGCTTTAGCCTGGAACAGAATAGATATTGCCAAAAGTGAAATCTTTACGGATGACCGTTTCATTCAGGTACATAGAATATTTATTGATTTGTAGTATTTTCCATTTAATTGGCCATACAGTGTTGTAATGATTAAGAGCAGAAAAACTGTTTTGGGAAGGGATGGTTGGGGATGGAAAATTTTATTTTTAGGGCGGTTGAAGTAATCAGACCCTTAATTATTCCAGCCTCCCCCCAAACAAACCCATACATACACATTTATTTCTGTTAGTCTTTATCAAGAAAAACCTAATGTGCTATAATTTTAATCATAGAACTATGATTTCAGTTAAATGATGGTGTTAATCAACGTATATTTAAGAAATTGGTATGATGCATTATATATTGCAATTTTGCTTGCAAAATTGACCAGGGCTTTAAAACTGCTTGCCTAGTTGCTGAAATGCTCTCAAATATTGTTTTAGGATGGGTTTTTTCTCTCTCTCAGTGCTATGATAGTGGAGATATCTAGGTGCAGCAATATCCTTGTACATACTTTAGATGGAATTAATAAAGGGTGATGGGTGGGTGGGTCAGGGTTTAGAGCTTGTATAACTTTAGTGTGCTAATTTATGATTACTAGCTCTCAAAATAATAGAGATATATTTGATAAATGAAAAAAATTATGGTGCCATGACTCATAGTTGCTGCACTTAATATTGTTCCTGGTAAAAGAAGTACAAAATATATAACTACTATAGGTGAAGCAGTTGCTAGGACTTCATGCATATTAGTTCCATTAGGATATTGATTTACAATACACCTACTTTCATTGCTACTATACTCTGTATACAGAGAGGTGAGAGAATGGCTTGCATCCAGTCAGAATATTTATCCTTCTAATATTCCATACTGCTTTTTTCTGCAAGAGGAAAATTTAAAACATGATAAAGGAGAAGTGGGAAACAAGAAGTTTAATTGAATAATATTTTATTATTTACAATAGATAATCTACATTAAATTCATAGTTTCAGTGTTTTCCACTTACATTTTGTAGTTGTTTTAAAAGTGCATGAACAAATAAACAACCATGATGTTGAAGCACATACTGGTAAAACTTATTTGTACATGTACTTGTATTTGGTGAAAAAGTACTTGATTCGATATGCAAGAGCATGCTCTATGTATGTACAATTTCTAAAACGAGGTAAATTATTGACAAACAAGTTGATGAAACAAGAATATCAGCAGTCTCGTTTAAAGTCATCATTTCGTAAGTTCTATGGTTGATACAATGACCTTGTCAGCAAATACAATTTATCATTGAGTCAATTGCTGACTGACTTTTTTCATGCTAATTGTTAGGCCATTATTTACACACTGAATTGTCGACGGATTTTTCTGTTATTTCCCGATCATGACAAGGAGCACACGGTGGGTGTGACCGGTCGGCAGGGGATGCTCACTACTCCGTGGCACCTGATTCCACCTCTGATGTTTTGGAGGTCCATGTTTGCTCTGCACCTATTTTGTAATGTTTAATGGACTTTTGAGCTTGAATACTGTTCGTTATCTCCATATATTTCACATAAAAAAGGGGGGATCCTTTAGTGTAGACTTAGAATTTCTGAAAAAAAAAAGGTTATTAAGAATTGATTGATCACACATTTAAAGAACAATTGTCTTCTTCAGACTAACATGCTGTTTGAGATCATGCAATCTGCCTTAATTCTGAACCGGGTAGGCTTTGTAGAACTGTTGATGGACAATGGGGTCAACCTAAAAGACTTCCTAACCAAGAAAAGGCTTCTTAAGCTCTATAATCAGGTATGTCAAAATTAACATCCTAATTATCTTTCGTTAATTTTTTTTTTCTGAATTGACCTTTATTTTTGAATTTTAAGTTGTTCTTTTTTTTTTTTTTTTATCTTTTGTTTATTTGTTCTAGTTTCATTTCTTATTTCTTGCATGAAAAAAAATTGTTTTCTTTCCTACCTGTATTTTGCAACTAGAAATACTTATTTTCAAAATCTTTTTAAAACAAATAGATGTATGTCTATATGTTGTCATGATTTTAGAGAGACCTGTCTTTTTCTTCACACCACACTGTACAAGAGGTCAGAATATTGAGCATTCTCCATGTACTTTAACAATTAATTTTTTTTAAAATTTGTTGTCTATTAACCTTCTGCATTGTTCTTTAGAGAGTGAAGTCAGTAAATTTTTAGTACAAAGTATCAGTACAAGCTTTTTAAATTAAAAAAAAAAACCAAAAAACTAATGAAGCTTTTGCACTTTGCCAGCTTGCAAAACATGATGCACATTAGAGGGCTGCCTGTATAGTCAATTTGTATCTAACCAGCATTTAAAAAGTTGATAATTCTTTAACAACCTATGCTTTTTTTTTTTGGTTGAATAAAATGATTATTTTAATCAAGCTTCATGGGTACATCTTTGACCTATTCTACCACAACTGTGCTTGGCATTTCATTTGCTCATTGTGTTCTTGGTACTTTAGATATTTTTTTTCACTCATCTTTTTTCAGGTTTTATATCAGATTCCCCCCCCCCCCCCCCCCTAAAAAAAAGTTTACTTTTTTTGTCATTAGCACTTTAGTCTTTAAGAGCTGCAGGTAGAAAACCCATAAGACAGAAAAGCCTCAATTTTCTCACTTTCAAAATATTTTACATAAAAGTAACAATAGACAGCATATTTAAACATTTTATCTACTTGAGCATGCTCCCACAGTAGTCAAATTAGCTAGTTTGTCAGTTCCAGTGTACAAAATTAACATTTTCATACCTGTAATAATTAACACTCACTGTGGGATACAAAATTTTATATAAAAGCTTGATGGAAAACTTATGCAACATTGAGTAGAAATCATATTTATTTTAATCTTATTTATTGCAATTATTTGCTAATATATGTGGTTAACATAAACATATATATAATGTGTGTTTGCTTTCATCTGGTAACAGCAAAGTTTTAATCCTGTATGCTTTTCCAAGCGAAGAATATCTTCAGACTGATTTTGTCTATTTTTTTTTTTAAATTCCTTATTTGTTTCCATAGGTAATCCACTACTGCTCATACAAAACCTGTGACATCATTAAACAGAATATGCTTGTTTTCATGAAACTTCACTGAAAATTCATATTTATCAATCATTGACTTCTATGAGCATCATTTGTAAGGTACAGTCCGACAGAAAAAAATATATTCAGTTTTATTCACTTAACTCAAAGCTAAATGGATGCATTGAACTACAAGTAAATAATTGTTTTATTATATTGACAGTTTTTATAGGTATAATTTTTTATCACTTTACAATGATGATGAAAATTTGAAAGTCAGATAATACTGCTTGAAGTGGCAGTCTGTTAGGATTTCATAATTATAAAGTCAACGATCAGAACCAGGAAAAATATGATGACATAACGCAATGATTGCATACTAGTACTTATGTTTTCAGTATTAATTGAAAGTTTGCTTGTTGTGAGGTGCACATGATGTTTATTTTTGTTGATTTTGACATTCAGATTTCAGCTAATCAGAGTAGAGAAAAATCATCTGTTTATATAATATTTATGTATGAGGTAGTACGTTTAAGAAAATGAGAAAAACTGTTTTAATTTTTGCATTTAGGAATATTAGCATCGTAATATGTCAGTGCCCAGGTTGTATTAAGAAAAAATGTTACTTTGGATTGAGGCAAATACAAACCTTATCATCTGACAAAAGCAGTTCTGTATGTGCAAAGGTTTTTTTTTCTTTTGGAGGGGGGGGGGGGGGGGGGGAGAGAGGAGGGGAAGGGGGCATAAATAGTCAATCCTTCCACCTGTTCTTCACTTCAATTCTTTCAAGTCTATTAAAATCAGTGCATCAAGTCTGCAAAATATAAGTTAACTTTTTTTTGTACCATAACTGCAATAGAATACATGTATCGACATCATTGTTGCATATGTTCTTTTGTGTCATCTCTAAAGCTTTTAATTAATGAAGGGGAGGTAAGTGATACAGTAATACAAATACATGTACATACAGTTGAACTTCGATATCTCCAACATCAAAATATTGAATTCCGTGAATTAAGTTAAAGTGAACTTTTTGTATCTGCTTGCTGACTGCAAAAGCACATTTCAGTGTGACAAATTATTTTTTTTTTAATATTGGCATATTGCGATTAGTTAATCTAATTTTAAAAATGATTTGCATGACATTTTAAATGAAGAAGAGTTTATTGGCATGCATGCAAAATAAGATTTGAATTAGCTGCAAAAAAAAAGGGAAATACATTTGTATTTTCAGTATAACTCTCAATGCAAATACATGTATTTCAACACACATCAATTATATGAATCATTGTTTGAAGCTTGTTAAACAATAAAGCTCTGAACAACACATTTCATCCAGAGCTTCTAGGTATGAAGTGCTGTAGTACTAATTGAGTGCTATGTACAGTATTACAGGTATTAGCTGTGGACAAACCACATCAAGACATTCTTTGATTGTTTATTTCATTCTCATCAAATTCATGAGAACAAGTGAATCCTATCTGATGCAGACACATTAAAAAACTAAAAGCAGTAGGTTCCAATGATTCTTGGTTTTCAATAAAGTCATAACCTTGGATGAAAAATGAGAGGAAAAAGATGTTCATTTTACAAGTGCAGTTATATATTGATGTGCCTCTAAAAATTAAATGTCATAAGTTTTAAATTTCATTGAAAAATCTTCCAAAAAAAAAAAAAAAACCTATGTATATAAGAGCTGGCCTTACTATTTTATATGTTTTATTTTATAGATAAACAAGAATACTCAACTGTATCAGATGCTGGATAAAATTCGCCGAAAAAATGGAAATGTAAGAGAAGGAATCTAAATGATGATCAGAGCTTAAACTGAATATCTATTTATTATATAATGTTTTATTAATTGTGATAAAACATATAATAATGTATTGGCAAGATCATTGAACATCTGTAAGTATGAAAATACATGCAATTGAAAGAAGTTATCATAATTTTTCGCAGACATAATTTTAATTATTTGTGTGTAGTTGAAAGGCAAGTTTACTTACATAAACAGTCCTTAGGTTTTAGATTATGTAAGAAAAGTTTCCCATGTTTTGTAAAGAAACTTTTAACCAATGATAAAGCCTAAAATTGTTTTTTAATGTAAACAGGCGAAGTACATCTCCCTGGTGGATGTGGGTTGCTTGATTCAGGACCTCATTGGGGACTTTTACACCCCATGGTACCTACTGGACCCCAAAGTAAGGGACCTTGATGTAGAATACCTCCTTGATGGGGTGTCAGCAAAGAGTATGGGTATGCCAGGGATCAAGAAGGGGATTTTATCCATGGCAACAGGGAAAAAACAAGGTATACCTCCACTGTGAAATTATTGTTTGCTTGCAATTCATGTAGTTTTGAACTCACATATGTGGGCATTGTTATGTAAAATCTACAGACCTGGGATAGCGTCTATCCAAAATATCATTAGTTGTACAGAATTTTTTTTCCCATGTACCATTATCATGCACATGAGGTATAATTTCATTAAGGAAGCGATTGCAAGGCGTCATGTGATCGACTCATGTGATGTTTTAAAAAAGAAAGTTTACGGTAACCATTTCCGGAATAAGGGGCGTGATATGATTGCGCCAATGACAAAAAGTCCTCGTGGCAATATTTCATGAACGCAGAGAAAGAATAGGACGTGACGCTGCAGAGTGTTGGGGAGCATCGGCGCAGATTTTTTCATCTTCATGTTTTGTTTTGACGTCTAGCTTTTGTGTACTATATAGTTCTATATCAAATCTAGCAAAAAATAATTTTTAAAATAATAATTTTTGAAAATTCACGAGGACATGAACAAAGACGCTTCATGCCGGCATATTTTATGAAGCGCATAAGCACGACCCAAATTTATGTCATTCAGCAATTATTTTTTAAACTAAAGTTTCTAGTTTTGACGTCAAGTGTGGCATTATGACGTCACAATGGAGATATGTACTCATGTACCTAGTTCATGAGAAAATGATGTGAAGAATATGAGGAAAAATATTTGCAAATGTAAATATTAAATAGCAAATCACTATTTTTTGCCAAATAAGATATTAGGATTTTTATATATTTATTGCAGATACAAGTTCTATGAAATAACCCCTATTCATTCAATATGTTCAGACAAGTGTATCAAAGTATTTATTAATCTATACATACTGTTTTTTCTTAGTCTTTTTACAGACTATACATATTTAAGGTTCAGTAGCAAATCATCATACGAAAATTTATGAAACTTATAATATTTTAGGAAGGGGGGGGGGGGGGGGGGGGTATTGAAATGCATGTAACTTCAAAATGAATGTGATGACCCTACTTCATATTTTAGCTATAAGTCACTTATAATAAATTGTACAAAATATATTAGTTTTTGGAAAATTCATTGGGTAATTTTTTGTCAAGATGTTGAGAACTCCTCTTGAGGTGAAAATATTACTGCAAATTTACAATTAATACTCCCCAAAGCAGTGGTGGCATTACTACATCTATCAATATATTCCAATACAATTTTTATTTTCATTGAATATAAAGCATATTATTTAATATCTATTGGAATTTTTTATGTTGTTTCAATAATGTACCATAATGGGATATATAAAATTTCACCTCATAAATATCAAAATATTGAAAAACTGCGGTTACCATGGCAACCATATCATCCTTATAACCCTGATGACCTTGGTTGAAATTTTCATATTATGATACCATTAATGTCAGGCAAATTTTATGTAAAAATGAGAAAAATTCATTGAGCGGATTTTTTTCACGGACCCTTGCAATCGCTTCCTTAAAGTTATATATTACATGTAAATAATGACCCAAAGATGACAAGACAGACCTGGGTCACAACAGGTGTCAAACATGTTACACATAAGTATTATAATAAGGACATTTTTAGCTCACCTGAGCAGAAGGCTTAAGTGGGCTTTTCTGATCAAAATTTGTCCATTGTTGTCATCGTCTTTGTTGTCCCTGTATATATTAGTAATGTTATACATGTATGGGAAAACATGTAGGAAAAACTTGAAAAATCTTTTATCCATGAACAGTAAATCCTTGAGCAGTAAAATTTATATGGACACATGATCCACAGGAAATGTGTATTCAAGTTTTTTCAACTCATGACCCCAGGGGGTAGGGTGGGGCCACAATGTTCAGATTTACAACCATATATAGAAAGAATTGATTGTTTCAAACCTTCTTCCTAGTGAACATTCTCATGTAGCAAAGATTTGTTTGTCATAGTTAAGTCATAGTCATCTGGAGTGGGGATGATTTCATGAAAGACTCTCCAAAGGAATTTTTAGACTTCTCATAGTGCATTAGCAAATTTCAAGTTGTTAAATACACATGGATGCATGAGTATACAGGGGTATCCATGCATTCTGTAGAATATTTTTATGAAAACAACTTTTCATCAGATATCAAGGGCTTTTATTTTTTATATACTGTTTACAGAGTTTTATATATATACATGCCATTTTGATTTCATTATCTCAATCAGATAGCAAATATTTAAGCAGTGCATGTTGCTATACGGTTTGTATTGAGAGTTTCTATATTTTTTTCAGTTATTATACATATATAGAAAGAAGTATTGATTAATTAAGATGATAAATTTCTAGTTGTAATGATTAAATGGATTCAATATCAACACAGTTAGGCATTCAATTCCATGCCCATATATGTTATTGGACACTGCATAGTGACAGTTCAAACTTTATTGCATTTTGTGGGTTGAGAACATCACATCATTATCTAACATCTGCCTACATTTTTTGGCTAATGGCTTTAAAATTGTCTGATGAGGGGTTCAGAATGTCCTATATACCTCCCAGTATCTGCCCACACCTCAGGGGTGAATGACGTCAATTCTCCCATGATTAAGAACAGAAGAATGTACTTTTCACCAGAGATTAACTATAACATTAAAGCTGAGGTTAATATCTATGGGCAGTAGTTTTTATTATTATAGTGTTTGTGATAATTGATAAATTGAAATTAAAGATCATGCTTGCACAGAAGTTTTAATATATTGTATTAAAAAGTGATAAATATCTGAAATACCCCTTACTTTGCAAGAAGATTGATTCCATAGCTGCAATGAAGCAAAATTAAATTACCTATAAAGATAATTACTTATGTCTATCACTTTATGAAATTAAAACAATTAACTGACAAGACTGGGAATTTCCTCTGATGTCTTGGTTTTTAGCTGATAATTTTTTCTTCTTTTTTAAGGCACCTTAATCACTTAGTTGACCTATTTCTATATGCATGCAATTGTATATCTTTATGCTTTGTGCATTAATATGCAACATTCATAAACTTTTGAACATTTCCAGCTTCTATGAAATGACTACACCAATCTTATCCAGTGTGGGCAAATGGAGCAAAAAACATCAAATTCATGCAATGTTTACAAAATCTTCTCTGGACATCTAGTAGAAAAAAAATCTTTGCATGATTAGCAAGCAGTTTTAAAAGCTCTTTACCTAAATTGTGAAATTCATGGAACCTATTATCAAGGCTTGTGCCCCAGGGTGGAGCAAAGTTGATTATATATATATTGAAAATTTACATTACAAAAACATTGAGCAGGCAAAATGCATGTTTGCATAATTACAATGAGTTCATAACCTTCTACCATAATTGTAACACTCATGACTCCATGCAGGTCCCATATGTTAAGGTCCAAGGGTTGGACATAGTTAGTAATGTATTAGAATACATTACAACTTTGAAAATCTTATGGACATATAGGCACTCAACTGTTTGTGGAATTAACAAGTACTACCCTTTTTGTTTCATACCCCATGGGTTGGCGTAAGTTGATCATTTAAAACTCTTTGAAATTCTTTTTCTTTACTCATGAACATTTAGAAAGAAAAATGTTTCTTACCCGGTAAATATAATAAGTTAGCTAGCCCTCTCACCTGTAATTATAACATTAATAGCTCCTGTGTCCAGTGTTCTGGCCCCAGTATGGGGCTTAATTAATTTGTCATATATTGCAATTTTTTTTTATATATATTGTATGTTTGATATTAAATTTACTGAATTACCTTTATAAATGATTTTAAAAAATTATATCACGTGAATGTGGAGGTACAATTCCAGTTTAGATCCCATGTATTGTGTATGTTTTACTCAACAATTTAAAGCTGCTTTGGTCAAGAAACAACTTGCAAAAATAATTGCATTGTAGTAACCACTACATGGTATAAAATCCATGCACTATATCAAAATAATGTAGATCGAATGTTTAATAGCTGCTTATTATTGGATGAATACCATAGAATTAATAGCAGCATAAGTTAAGCATTTATCAAGCATTGTGGTAGCCACTAATGTTACAGCCATCCTCTTTCAAATAAATCATGGATAGCAAAGTCTGACATAAATTTTGCCAAAATTTTCCACTTTTCAGAATCCATGGATAATGACCTTTTGACCTCAGATGAGTACCAGGTACCAGATTTTGATAATCCATTCCAGGAACTGTTCCTCTGGGCAGTGTTACTCAACAGACAGGAAATGGCCAAAATTTTATGGAAAGGAGGAAAAGTAAGCCTTTATTACATTTTCAACAGTGAAATACAGTAATTTATTTACTGAATAAAAGTGGTATTCTGACACAGTGTGAAAAGATATCAAAATGGTATTGTCACACAGTGTGAGAATATCAGAGGTGTGGCAAAACGTACGATTTTCCTTCCCTTCACGAAGAGTGTTTTTAAAAAAATCCATGGCCTGTTATAAGATAGAGTTAATGAGCCATCCTGACAGAGATTAATAGTTAATATACTGCCAAAAAAATCCATGTTTACGTTTTTCAATCTTGCAATGGCTTAGCTATGATGTCTCATAGGAGTGAAACGGTTCACCGCGGTATCGATTCACCGCAGTATTTTTTCTCGGTTTGATACACGGTGCAAAATCTCAAATTTTCGGTTCGGTTCATTTTTCGGTCGGGATCTTTATTCAGTCGGGTTTGGCAAAAGGTAAAACACGTTAATCAGTATAAATAAGTATAGAAAACGTAAATTTTCGATGACTGATAGCTTATAAAATAATTTTTGACAGTGAAATGATTTTAATCAATTTCTTCTAGTCAATTTGCAAATAAAATTCGTAAAATATGTGACTAGATTTAGAAAAAGAAAGCATAAAACAACGTTGAATTTGTTTCCTTCTATCAAAATGTATCGTATCGAAAATAACTGAACCGAGACAAAATTATACAATACGTATCGAACCGTGAAGGAGGTGTATCGTTTCACCCCTAATGTCTCAACTGCTCAACTATGATGTCACAGCATATGACATTGTATTACGAAAAGACAGAGGCAAAGGGAAAATCTAAGAAAATGTAATAAACAGAAAATTCAATGTTTTGTAGATGAATATGGAATTTATTTCACTTGTGAGACAGGATTTTTTTATATTTTCACTCGTGCTTCGCACTCGTGAAAATATCAAAAAATCCTGTCCCACTCGTGAAATAAATTCCATATTCATCTACAAAACATTGAATATCCTCTATTTACTTAATGTATACAGTTGTTAATATTCCCCTGTTTACTGACCAAGGGCACCTGGTCCAGTGCATTTGTCTTTCATTCACTAGAGATGCAAGGAAAAAAATGTCATCATGCATCTTTGAAGGCACTCAGACTTTTCATAATAGATATCAAATTAAGTCTTCCATTATTGATGGATGTTGTAAATGATTTTTAGTTTTCTAGACAGTATTATATAAGAGCATGTCTGAAGTAATGTATGAATGTGTCTAGTTACATGTATATGGAAAAAGTGATTAGTGCTTTGATTCCATGGATGATTTATTTGTCATGTAAATACTGATGACTGATTCTGTGGATGGTTTGGTTGATACATTATACTGATTACTGACTGTGGTGTGTTTGTTATAGGATGCCACAGCTGCAGCACTTGTGGCGAGTGGAATGTTAAGTTCACTAGCCAGAGAGACAGATGACACAGAGTTAGCCAAAAAACTCAAAGCCAATTCACAGTAGGCTAGGTTTTTTTCTTCAATTGATATGACCTTGTAGCATCTTAGATGGAAATGATGTATAAGTACAAATGTACTAAAAATATCTCTATAAAGCAAAAAAAAAAATTTTTGTCAAGTTGATTACACTGTAACAATTAATTGATATATAATGTTATTTACTTGTAGGGAATTCTCAAATCTTGCCATAGCAGTGTTAAATGAATGTTATGATGTGGAAGAGAAAAAGGCTCAGAATCTATTGATTCGTGAGCTTGAACATTGGGGGGCAGCCACATGTGTATTATTAGCTGTGGAATCAAACAACAAAAAGTTCATTTCTCAAACAGCCTGCCAGACACTGCTAAACAATGTGTGGATGGGGCACCTGTCCCTAGACAACCAAATGCTACAGGTGGGATCTTGTTTCTGAATATCAGATGTTCTACATACTAGGGTATGTAGGAATTATCATTTGGTAAAAATATCTGACAGGAAGGTTGTTGTCCTTTATTAAAAGATCTTATAGACAGTCATATGGTTTTTGCAGATAATCAATTTAAACAAGTCATGTCTTTGAATTTACCAGATCTTTGTGGTTGTTTATACGGTCAATTTAGTCACTCTGGTGTCCTATTGCTATCTGTTATTATCCATTGTTGTGCATTTCCTAGACATTTGACCATTTTCAGCTTCTTATTTTAATTTGATGGACCAATTTCAACCAATATTTAGCATGTAGACCATTTGCATGGTTATAATGAGCAGCTAAACCTCTACCAAAATTATTAAATTCATGTTATGTGAATTCTAGGAGTCCAAATCAGGCCCCAGGAGGGGTTAAATTAGTCTTAAATTTATTGACAATTCTTTATACAGTGTACTTTAAAAATATTATGACTATGTGTACTTGAATACTCAGAAAGCAAACTGCATGATGGTTGTATTAAGGTATGGGTTTTGATAAGCTGATCATATAAATAAAGTGCACTTTATCTTTAAAAGTCTTCACTCCTGAATTTGTAGGAGACAAGTTGCATGAATATAGAGTTGTACCAAATTGTAACAATTATTCACATGAGTCCAGAGTTCATGTTATGGTGCTCAGGTGACTGTTAATGCTCATTGCCCTGTTGTTAATTGTTTTGGATTTAAGTGATCATGACTAAAAAAAATAAGCTAATTATAGCATACATTGTGTATTTTTGTGCAATAACAAACTCTGTACAGTTATGGAAACATGTTTTATTTTTACACATGATTGACGTTTTTTTTCCAGTTGTTGTTGTGTGTGTTTGTACCCCCACTCATATTTCCTGTCATCAAATTCAAAGAGGAGATAGACACTGACGCAATGTCAGAGAAAAACTTCGAGCAGAGAGTAAGTGTGAAAATTGTGGAAAATTTCTGATAATTACTATCAAAAGCATGATAAACTTTAGTTGTAAAATATGGAATGAACTTTTCAGACACGTAATTTGCAATTTAAATTTCCATTGTTTGGGCGGAATTTTAATCATTTGGTTTGGTCAATGACAGGTAACACTTAAAGCTAAGAAGAGAAAACTTGAAAGGCAGAAGACATTGAACTCGATTCCTGTGAGAGAGGAAAAAGAGTAAGTTCTTAATGCATTGCAGTAATTTTATTAAAAGCAACATAAGGGGCCGGGAAATGGATTTTTAATTGTCATATCCTCACTATCAAAAAATGGGGTATAGAGGATTTTCTTTGCCAGTTTGCAAGTCTGTTTCATTTTTAATTTAAATTAATTTACATGTCTAGCCTAGCTCTTATGTATGTGGGGCATTTGAAAAGTTCTGATAATTATTCAATAAAATGTCAGATTTTGTTGTTTCTTTTAATGATTGTTTCTGATATCATTGAAAAAATCAGGAAAATATGTACTCTTTTGTATTTAAAATTAGATTATTTATCAGATTGACTATCTACACCTTGATTCAACTTAATATCTTAAAATTCAAGGTCATTGTAACTGTTCAATCAAAAATTTTGGCTGGCCCATACCTCTGAAATCCAAAATGAGAAGATTTGCTTCAATTCTTAACCCAATTAATACATGTACAAACTGTGAAATCACTAATCTTCATGGGGGTTTAATTTAATCATAATTAGTATGAATCAGACCCACAAATTCATGTCTCCTATGAAATGTAAGATTTCAAATATTTGACAACAAAACACATTTTTCAACATCAAATTTAATCCCCATGAATCATTTTTGTCAAACGACAAAAATTTGACCCCATGAAAATATGTGATTTCACAGTAGTTGCTCTTTCATAGTTTAGTAATACTATACATATATTATCATAAATTTACGGCTGAAAAGCCTGATATTATGTGGTATACATTTGTATATGTCATTCTTTATGTACAGGTATATCTATAGCTTGAGCTAAAAGATCTTACAAAGATTTATATTGTCCTTGTAGAGAAAGTCATGTGGATTATGAATCAAAACCATTTGCTCTCAGCTTTTGGAAGAAGCTTTACTATTTTTACACAGCACCTGTTGTTATCTTTGCTCACAATGTGGTAAGGTGTTCTGTTTCTCCTATTTAGTCCACAGATTTATTTTTTGTATTTTAAAAGTAAAACATTCTCAAAATTTCTAAATCACATGAATTTACAGCCATGAATGGATGAAATGTGCATGATATATATTCATGCATGCACTTTAGAATATGCATATTTATTATTATAATAAATTAAATATGCATTATTTTATGAAAAGTTTGGAAAAAAGTGTGTCTTTAAAGAAATCTCTGATTGATTGTTATTGATATGGCCTTGTTCTGTTCCAGCTATCCTATGTGATTTTCTTGGGGTTGTACAGCTACATTCTTCTGGTGAAGTTTTCAGTAGAAGTCAGCATAGAAGAGATTATCCTTATTATCTGGGTGTTCAGTATATTCGCTGAGGAGGTTAGACAGGTATAACTGAAATAGGCCAAACTTTTTTTATTTTCTGTACATTGTGCAACATTAGGAGGCTCCTATGAGGAGATTTGTGGACACTGCAGCATTATTAGACACAATTGCAGCCACATACCCATACTATATGGCATATATGTCAGATCATTGTCTTTTACAATGTATATTTAACTGCAAGGGGCCAGTTTCTTTTGAGCTGTACTGTATGTCAGATTATGCTAACAATATATGCTTCAATATCCAATATATAAAAATTTTTAATCAATCAGACTAATAAATCTAAAAAAAAATCAGACATTGATTTATTCACAATCTAATTCTTTTAATCTTTTTTCAATGTAGTTCAATGATTTATAACATGTGATCTTAAATTCTTTAAGGTAGGTGAATTAGGGTCGTAATGATTTGAAGACTTGTGGGAGTACCGGTTATTTCTTACATTAATGCATAATTTTAAATGTATCCTGTGGAATCCATTTAATCTTGCAAGTACATGTACATGCCACCAGTGTGTAGTAGACTCGATGAGTGTGAATTAGATACCTTACAACTGTATCTTAGGATAATTGAACTTATATTGGTGAATATTAATTGGCAGGAGCTGGCTGTACAAATGCACAAGCTGGTGAGTGCATTTGTACAGCCAAAGAGTGCCAATATTCACCAATATAAGTTCATGCAAAAACTCCTTTTTTATATGGCTAAAACGTCTCCCATCGATTTATACTAATTATTTCAACTAAATAACAAATTGATAAGACTTTTCAGTATTGATATTTAAATTACTGTCTGTCCTATAAGCGTTCAATATCGCATCATTCCAATGACCCTCCCAAGCGTTATGAAATGCTTATTGAGGTTTTATTGAGGCTAATACCAACTACATTATTAATTAATTGATAATGCCAATTTTGCGTGAAAATGAACACATCTTATCGAGCTGCCACTACCTACCATAAATTTGCCTTTGAGAGGTTGACCAGACAACATTTCTTGTTTGCAATGGGGCGTTCAATTGTATTCAGAATGTTTCGTGCATACTGCATATATACATAATACACACTCAGCTTTCAATAAAATGCCAAGATTTTTGAACGCTAAAATTCTCTAGACTTTTAGTAGTTTTTTTTTTAATAGTCTATTTATTAGCTATATAATAAAAATGAATATTATACATTATTTAGTAAGTGCATGAATTAAAACATACAAGTCAACAAAATGAGAAGGGCACCAACTTTTGGAATGAAAATGTGTTTATTTCTTAGCTTCTTTACTAATAGAAAATGAATGAAAACAATGCATAAAAAATACTGAAACTGATTAGATAAGGAAGTCCAGTATTGTTCCTCTATAGGTTTCAGGTCAATGCCTTCAAAATTGGGGACTATGTAATGTAAGTTTTGTCAAAAAACATATTCCCTTGAAATCTTGATAATTAACAACTATTTGCACCTCTGTTACTTAACCTTGCACATGTATACATGTACACCAAATTCAGTTTGGATAATTTTCTTGTCAATTTGGAATAAATCAGTCACATATATATAGCATTCATACAGATTTGTGAATATTTCATGGTTTACAAAACAAGTATCAATGATACTTGACAAAAACTAAATGCGGAAAATGGAGAAAAGCCATTATTGGATTCCTTTAGGTACAAAAGGGTTGTCCCTTGTAAACTATAGATGTAAATGTGATTTGCATTCTTTCTCATTTGACTTGAATGAGAACTTAAGCAACATTTCGATAGGTGTAATCTATATACATTAAAAGGGCAGTGCAGAAATGAATGCTAGAAAAGTGTACATGTGTACAGGGTATATGAATGCTACCCAATTTATCCCCTTGTTTCACAGGACTTGATTACACTACTTCAATTAAGTCAAACCATTACATGTTTAACAGTTATTTGTAAAACTAGCTCCAAAGAAGATATACTGGTTTGAAAATTGTGTGCCTATTCAACCTTCCATCAATCCCTCACATATTTCTTTAGCATTTTTATGAGAGGCTAGTAAAGGTTTAATTCTGACTAAACCAAGTGTGATGTGTGGCACTGTTTCAGGTACATGTACTTTCTCTGAGTAGCAAATACAGTCTAGTCTGAAACTGAACTAATAATTTTTTTTTTGTGGTAAACAGTACAGTATAATACATGTATACATCACTGATTTGTGATATATATATATATATATATATATATATATATATATATATATATATATATATATATATATATATATATATATATATATATATATATATATATCCAAAAAATGAAAAGAAATATCACAGTGTCCGGTAATTAATATGAAAATTAAAAATAACAAGGCAACAATGTTAGTAAAACGTAAACGCTTTCATTATACTTCTTCAGACGTTTTACAATTCAAAACAATTCAAACATGTGACGTTATAACGCTACCTGATGATAACGTCAACAACAATGCAATGACGTCACAATGCTTATAGAGGAAACAATTATAGAGTCTAAGTAAAATTACTTTGTTCATTAATAGCGTAATAAATAATAAAGTCATGAAACAGTCTATATTAAACTATTTAAGGACGGTTTAAAAATCTTGATGAAATGTTTTTCTTTTTCCCGTCTTTCTAAAAGATTTTCTGTTTTGAGTTTATAAAAGGGATAAACTGAGAATTGTCCCTGTCCACAAACAGCAAGATGTTCACTGAGTTTTATTTTTCTGTACTCGGGTTGGTTGATATGTTGTCTATGTATGCGTATATGAGTGCGTAGTGTGGTCCCCGTTTCTCCTATGTATAATTGTCCGCATCCAGCGCATGTTATACAATAAATAACGTTTTTAGATGCACAGGTCATATCTGCATTGATAGTAAATTCTTTATTTCCGAGTGTAAAAGTACTTCCCTCTTTAATATACTGGCAGGTTCCACAACGTGAATCAGAGCATTTATTGACCACATACAAATTCCGTTGGTGAAATGTAGATTTACACAATATTCTTCGGAGGTTTTTAGGTTGTCTTTTACTGTTGATGAATTTATATTTTTCCAGTACTTTGGACATTTTCTCATCCGTCTGTAGAATGTTGTTGAGGTGACGCACTGTAGAGGTTATATTCCTGTTCTTTGGATTGTATGTAGTTACAAGCGGTAATATTGCAGAATCTGATGTGTTACTTTTTGAAGAATTAATAAGTTTATCTCTGTCGATTTCTATAGCCTTTCTGATTCCGTCCACAATGATTCCAAGAGGATAGCATTGTTCAAGCAGATATTTTTTTAATTCATTCAGACGTTCATCTCTTTTTTTCTTGTCGCTAACAATAGTGCAGATTCTTCTAGCTAAATTGTATGGGATTGAACGTTTCGTATGACTTGGATGACAGGAACTGAAATGGAGATATTGATGTGTGTCTGTCGGTTTGTAGTATATGTCTGTCGAAATACATTCTCCATGCTTTGCTATAAGGACGTCCAAAAACGGAATGCTTTGTAAGCTTTCGTCCATTGTGAAGTTGATGTCAGGATCTAGATCGTTTATAATATTTAGGTAAACTGCTAGATTCGCATCGCTGTCATTCCAAATGATAAAACAATCGTCAAGGTATCTTTTCCAATTGTTCTTTATATTTTCTGAAGTCTGTTGGTCAAAGTACTGAGTAGTTTTTTCATACATCCTCTCCTCTAGATATCCTAGTGTAAGGGTGGCATAAGTAGGGGCCATCTTTGTACCCATTGCCGTTCCTTTCTTTTGTGCATAATGTTTGTCGTTAAAAGAGAAAGTATTATTTTCCAATACTATTTTACTAGCCTCTAAGATGAAGTCTTTGCTGAAACGCTCATTAATTTTTTGTGGATATTTATCAATCCAGTCCTCGAGCACCTTGACACCAAGAGAAGTAGTAATATTAGTGTACAAATTAGTAACATCCATTGTGACTAGCTTGGCATCATGACTAACTTTTTCAGGAAGATGTTTCAGTGAACATCTTGCTGTTTGTGGACAGGGACAATTCTCAGTTTATCCCTTTTATAAACTCAAAACAGAAAATCTTTTAGAAAGACGGGAAAAAGAAAAACATTTCATCAAGATTTTTAAACCGTCCTTAAATAGTTTAATATAGAATTTTTCATGACTTTATTATTTATTACGCTATTAATGAACAAAGTAATTTTACTTAGACTCTATAATTGTTTCCTCTATAAGCATTGTGACGTCATTGCATTGTTGTTGACGTTATCATCAGGTAGCGTTATAACGTCACATGTTTGAATTGTTTTGAATTGTAAAACGTCTGAAGAAGTATAATGAAAGCGCTTACGTTTTACTAACATTGTTGCCTTGTTATTTTTAATTTTCATATATATATATATATATATATATATATATATATATATATATATATATATATATATATATATATATATATATATATATATATATATATATATATCAGGTCTGAACTAAAGTGCAGTTGTATTAAATTAAAGAGGGTATATAAGTGGTGAATAATAAATCACATGGTACAATTTGTTAGTTTTTATGTGGACAGCAAGTACCGGTAAATATTATTTTGTATAATGTTTTAAATTGCTAACAACCTTTAATTGATGTCTAATACTGACAGCTAATTCTTTACTACAACTGGGGATTGTTATGCCCATGAGTTTGCAGGTGTATTGTTTATTTTGGTTGGTTGGTTTTCAGTCAATTTCAGAAATTCAAATTAAGTTGTGTCTCTTGGACTTTTAACCTCAGATGTTTTTTTTCTCTTGAATTTCCACATAATTATGACTTTATATTGGTTAAAGATAAAGATCAAGTCACACTTAAACTTTAACAAATGTAAATGTTTTCATTTAGGAAACTTTTTAAATGACTGCGCCTTGAATTTTTATCCCCCCCCCCCAACACCTTTTGAAAAAAGGGGAGCATATTGTTTTCCATCTGTATCAGGGTTGTCCTTAAGACCCGGGAGCCAGGGAATTTCCCCACCTATAATGAAGTGATTCCCCGGTTATTCTGGTATTCCCCCTCAACCTCCTGTTAAGGGAGGAACCTCAGACACCCTTCTACTTTTTTAATGTCCCCTGCTATTTCAATTCTTATAGGGGCAACCCTGTGTATGTTAGCATGTTGGTTGGTCGATAGACCTAAGTGTTGTCCAAAAAATATCTTCAAATCCTTTGCTAAACATACATAAACTTGGTATACTGGTACCCCAAAGGGAGTGCATGTGGATTTTAAGATCACAAGGTCAATTAAAGGTCAGATTACTCTTGGCATTGTTCAGTAGACTAAGTGTTGTCAAATCAATATCTTGAGAACTTGTTGCTTCACAGACATCAAACTTGGTATACTGGTATCCCCTAGAGAGTAGATGACGTCAATTGATTTTCAGGTCATGAGGTCAAGAGTCAAAATACTCTTGATTCAGAAATATGTTGTCCACTATATATATTGAGACCCCTTTGCTTGACTGTTGCTCAATTGGTACACAGATATCCCTAAGAAATAGAGGATCCTAATTATTTTGAAGTTGCAAGATCAAAGATCAGGGTAAAAGTACTCTGAACATAAAAAGATATTGTCTACTTGGTGTCTTTAGAGCCCTTTGCTTGAAAGACATCAAGTCTTTGTATACTTGTATCCCTTAAAGAGTAATTGACCCCTATTGATTTGGAGGTCATGAGGTGAAGGTCAGACTACTCTAGACTTAGGATATTGTCCTCAGTATCTTAAAAATCCTTTGCTTGTCTGCTCAATATCTTGTGAAATAGGTTTACCTGTTTTCAAAATTTCAATTGCTACATGGGGGGCAAATATGTTTCTATTTTTAAAATTTCTTGTTATCATAAATTCTTTTTTAATTAACCTACCGAATATTTCTTTTAGAGGGATGAACATTTAGATATATAATGTACATGACTGTATTACTACATCACAACTTCAAGTTATAAGACTTTTGTGATTAAGTACTTAATTTAGTTAAAACTTTTTGACATGATTGCACTAATTGGTTTATTTTGATTTGAACAGTTGTTGTCGCAGTATTCAATTTATGAGAGAATAACTATATACCGCACGTCCACCAATCAAAATACCCCACATGTTATCAACCCCAGTGCTTCCAATCACACTCAAAGTTTACGAGGCAAAAATCACTCATTTCACCCTACCACAAAGGTATTGCAGTTATTTGTGCAATAGAAGCATTTTAATTTTTTGCCTATTTTCATTTGCCTGTTTTATCTTTTTTTTTTTTTAAAAAAAAAAAGGGGTGCATTTTGGAAATAAAAAAAATGTTGTTTTTTTTGTTTTTTGTTTTAATTTTCATTTATTACCAAAAATGTTCTGGAGGAGGTGTATGTTTTCACAGCAATTTTTTTTTGATAATTACAGCAGACAATATAAATGTCTTAAAACTTTATGAAATAAATATCACTTATGAATGTTCACATTTTTTGTCAGCTTTTAAACATGTTGGGTCTTATTTAATATACATCATGTATTTAATATACATATTTAATATACATCATGTAGATCTTTCTTTGGTATAAGACACAAATAAACTTTTATTACTTAAGCTCTAACCAGACAAAATACTCCATAATTTTCAGGGTGAATTTAACTGTTCACTTATTGCTACCGATTTTCATCTCATATTTTATTATCAAGTAGGAAAGCTTCAAGCACTTGACTGTAATTACTAATATTTTCAATTCATAATCTTTGTATTAACTTTAAAAAATTTCAAAGAAGTAGTGGAATAATAGTGAGAGTTTTAAACCACTATTCACATTATTAAAAGCTGTGGTTCACCTCTGTTAACTGCATGGAGTGTTGTATTTTAAGTTACCTTATCGCTTATGTGATGCTTTTGTTGCTTGAGTACATGTTTGTAGATATAAGCACCTGTATAACTAAAATGAAAACTTTTTTTCTTAATCATCATTATGATGGGTGTTTACTGTTCTTTGTTTGTAAAGCTAGTTTGCGATCCTTATAGAAGATTCAGCTGTTAAATATTTATAAATTAAATCGTATGTTTCTTTTTTTTTTTTAAATAAAATTTAGATTTGCATAAAATGACATTTCAAAATACCGGTATTATTTTACGTGCAAAATATTCACAGAGAAATGTACAAAAATGTTTTTTACACTTGTAAAGATCAACCTGCTTATAAATGGAAACATTTTTTTTTATGTATTGACCACAAACCTGCTGATAATGGATTTATATGTTGTTTTTTTTAATTAATTTTTTGTCTGTAGTACCTTCTATAGTGTAACTAACATTAAACAAGAATAATTTAGGAAAACATGTCTGTAGCAAACACAGATATAGCAAATATATATACATACAGTTGAACTTTGGTATCTCGAACTCTGATATCGTGAATACCAAGGATATGTCGAACTGATTTGAAAGTCCAAAGCACTATTTTATTATTGTATTTCAACCTCAATATCTGGAACCCTCAGACACCTTTAAGTTTTTTTCTGGGTGAGTTCGATATAACAAGGTTTGACTGTACTTATTAATAAAATGAATTCTGTTTTCACCTTTTACTAGAAACTTGTGAATTTTGAAATAAATTCAACAAATTTAAATAAACCTCATGGTAATTTTATGTTTGCCTTAGTAATTTGCTATAAATATTTTATTATTAAAGATACACGTCAGTCATTAAATTAAAAATAAATTATCATGGACTGCTCTGTCATCAGATGGTGTCCTCCTCAACCAAGACCTTCAATACCAAACTCCACAGCTACATAACAGATCCCTGGAATATAGTGGATGTAGTGACCATCATTATGTTTATTGTGGGGATAATCCTGCGCTTCCTCCCTTACTCCTCCACTCTGGAGGCAGCCCGCTGTGTCATGGCCCTCAACCTGGTCATCTTCTTCTTTAGGATCCTACATATATTTTCTGTTCATAAACAGCTGGGACCCAAACTAGTCATGATTGGCAGAATGGTGAGTGGATTTTGAGGAAATTTCTGAAGAATCAATGTAAAAATTTTAATTTTTCTAATCTTGTATTCCCTTTTTGATGGGCTGTATTATGGTATGGATTTTCTGTCCAGTGCATCAACCTCTCTGTTTATCCTTCTTGGAGGGTGTGTTGCAAACCCAAAAGAGGTCAAAGAGGCCTCATTTTAGAAATGTGGCTATTCATATAAGTCAAGTCTTGTCTGGTTCTTACCTTAATGCGCTCTGTGAGACCTAGGACCATGAAACTTGGTAAGTTGATTCATCTTGGGAAGGAAGGTGTGTTTCAATCCATAATTAGGTAACCGTTAGCTCATTTTGAAATTTTATGGGTATAGATAGACCTGACAGGCATATCAATAATCATGTACCCCAGCGGTGCGCTTTATTTAAGTTCACTTGTGATCTAAAAACATATTTCTGGTTCTGAGACAAGTAGCAAAGGAGATTTTAACTATCAAATTTGGTTGATGGAGTTGCTGTATAATTTTTTCATCATCTTGCATGTCTTTGTGTGTATTGACAGTTGATGGACCTACTGTATTTTATCATCATCCTGATGGTGTTTGTCGTCTCCTATTCAATAGCAGCTCACTCTGTCATGTTTCCAAACACAGAACTCACCTTTGTCCTTGTGTACAATGTCATGAGGATGGGATATTGGAACCTATATGGAGAGCTCTTTTTGGAGGAAATAGAAAGTATGTTTGCACAGAGTTATCTTCTACCATTACATTTAAATGTGTTAATAGTACATTACCTTATAAGTATGTATATGTTATAGTATTTTTTGTATCTACTTGTTTCTGCTTGTATTAATTTTAATGTTGATTTGCATGCTGATAACATTGATAATGACATTACTACTGATTATTCATTGAAGTCAGATATTGAATCCTTATTATTTTTGATCAGTGTAATGTTTCCTTTCTAGGGGAGGAGCCTGAGTGTACGTTTGACTCGCTATTATACAGTAATGACACATTGCCTCGATGTCCTACTCCTGTGAGTCGTTATGCAGTGCCGATTCTGATGGGGTTTTATGTTTTATTCTGTAACATTCTACTCCTTAACCTTCTGATTGCTATGTTCAGGTAATTCAGCTCTAATTAGTTCTTTGATATTATAATTTGTTTAAATATTTTTAATTTTTGTAGTCCAGTATTTTGATACTTTACTGTTGAATGCTAAGAGACTCCAATATCAACCTTACCAGTCCAATATTTTGACTCTAATGCCTTGTTGCCGTGAATGCGCATTAAATATTTTGATTCACAGTAAATTAATGAATTATATTTCTTTTTTATCATTTGTTGGATGTCTGTCATCTTTCAATGTATCCTTAGTCAGGATTGGACAACAATTTGTGTTCATGCAGTCTTACATTAAAAAAAGGATCAACTTCCTCAAGTTTTATCAAATATAAGTATATTTGAGATAAGGGCATTAATATACATGTATAATTGTATAATTATATAAATGTGTCAAGATTTCTCAATTCAGTGTGGAATGTTCAGCTTTATTATATTTATATAGTTCATTTTATATGAACCTTTAATTAATATTTAATTATTCAATATATCATTTGAAAAAATATATTCAAAATATGTGGGTCAAATTTCACAAAATAGTCAATATTTTGCTTTAATTAAAGTGTTCAAAGTTTAATAAACTCAAGTTTTGAAACCATTTGAATTATTTGGCATCCCTGTATACATGTGTTCATTTGTCAAGAAGAGAACTGTGACTATATATGGCGAGCAGTTGAAAATAGATAATTTGGTCAATTTTTTGAACAGTTTCCTCTAATATGTTTTTTTATCCATGTAGCTTACAGAAATTGCAATGATTCATAAAACTCTGTTCAATGGAAATTTGAAGTTTAATTTACACACAGGTTGCTTAATTTGTTAATTGTTACTATGGTACCTAAGGCTTCTGGTGGATTGTTCATTGCTTTATGCCACCGCCCAAATGGTTATTGCCATTTGCTTAAATTGTGATCTTTACTGGCAATTATTGACTACTAACTACTGCCAATAATTCAGAAGTATTGTTTAAATATGCAATTTATAAATACAGTCAACAAGTCATTCACATATCATTCAAAGCATATAAGTATAATCATCTTCGCTAGCTAAGGGTTTCCGATCCGAAATCTATTCTACAACCCTTGGCAGATTTTGTAGAGTATTTTTGGATCGGAAACCCTTGGCTAATGAAGATGAAGTATAATTAAATTGAGCACTTAAAAGGGCTTTACAGTGATAATTTAACTGTTTCATGAAAAATAATGTCAATACAAATTGTTTTGGGAATAAAATGAAATGAAAAATTTGTGTGTATGCATATATATATAGTTTAATTAGCACAAATATATACCTGCAGAGCTTTTGGAATAAATGAATTTTAGCAACAAATAAGTTTATAATTGACAGAATTAATGTAAATAACATTTAAAGCAACGTTAGCTGAGAGTAGGTAAATGGCATTTTGTTTCGGGAATTCCATACTTTTCTTTAAAAAGTATGTTAATTTCCATTTAATATTATTATGTTGACAATGGTACCATTTAAATGAATATGATAATAACATCAAATTTTCAAGCCAACATGTTCATATAATTATAATCACATACTTTGTAAAGAGAAAACAAATGAAAAATAATATGTGTATACATGTATCTGGAGAATCATTTGTTAATTTTTAGTAGTAATTTTTAGTAGAAAACACTTTATTGTTTTAATCCATTACATTTATTTTGAATCCAAGAAATTCTTAAGAAATTTTATGAAAATCTTAGAAGCAAAATAATTTATTTTTTTATTATTCAATTCAGTATTTAAAAAAGAAAATTGAAATTTTTTTTGTACATGTATTCTATTTTACTTACCATATTCAATTCCTAATTACAGTTACACTTTTGAGATAACACAAAAGGATACCAACAGTATTTGGAAGTTCATGCGGTTTAATACAATTCGAGAATATTGTGATCGCACTCCATTGCCTGCTCCGTTTTGTCTCTTTTCACATATCTATTTGTTGCTACAACTTTTTTGTCGGAAATGTTGTAAACGAAGGAAAAATGAAATAAACAGTATGAGTAAGTCGTGAAGAAATGTTGAACTTGAATTCATTTTTCAAGCATGCTCCATAGTTTGTTTGGTTTTTTTTTTTTTTTTTTTTTTTTTTTTTTGATTTTCTTGCAAGCTTTCATTTTGTTTTCTTATGAAACTTTAGCAAGTCTGTGAAGTTTTTTCTAAGAGAATGAATTTGGTTTCAATATCCATTGAAAAAGGAATTGATAGGAAAATTAGATAAAAAAACCACATACAATATGAAGAAATATTCAATAATTAAACACCAAAGAAGTAGCATGATGCATTTTAACAATACATATTAAACTTCATTTGCATGCTACCATTAATGACTATTCTCAGACATATTACTGTAAATCACTTTTTATTTACGAGAACTTTATTTTGCATAATTATGCTTGTCGGTCTGCTCACAAAAATTTCATTCTTGTATATATATATATATATATATATATAGTTGTATTGTTAAGAATTATATACGATAGTAACCACAATTGTGAAATTTTTATCTAGCTTAAAATATAATTACCAAATGGCTATCTCATGAAAGTAAGGTGTTGTGAAAGTATAGCAATCTACAGTATGCATTAGGGTAAAATAATAACCTAGCTTTTACATAGTGTTATAGAGATAAAATCATAAATTTATAAATGTCACAATATTGAAATAATTAGAATTGAATTAGAATTTAACAATGTAAACAATATATCAAATTATCATTCTGCGGTCTTATACAACTTGTATATTCCAAGTAAATAAACATTCATGCAGCAAGGTCAAACATTTGTGCACAGATGAGGCCTCAGTTGGGAGTTTTGCAGCAAGGTGTGCAGTAAGTGTTGACAACGCAACCTATATTTATAGATTTTGACACAGGCAAGGGGGCCTGACGGAAACCTTTTGCGTAAAAATTTAAACAATTATAAGTCAACTGAGGAACATGGGAGAAAATACATTACTTTGTCTAGAAAAAAACCCAGTTTACTTTACTTTGATTTATTGTTTATATTGTCTCAATAGTGGTTTAGAGTAGGCACTGCATTACTACTGCATATCCATTTGAACACTGGGACAATAGCCGGCTATTGCTCTTCAAGCAATGAACTTGGCTAAAAAGCATAATATGTTGTTCACCAAAAACATCATCTTGGAAAGAGCAACTGGTCTGAGAGATTTGTGTGTCTTTTATTTATATTCTTTCATTTACTTTTTTGTATTATTTGGAAGTGACTGCTTTAAATGTTGTATTGTGGCAATTTCTTCTCTTTCCAGCAACACGTATCAGATTATACAGGAGAATACTGACCAGTACTGGTGTTTCCAGCGTTACCGCCTGATTTACGAGTATTACACCCGCCCTACCCTAGCCCCACCCCTTATTCTGATCAGCCATTTGGGTTTGTTCATTCGCTGGATTTTTGGGAAATGTTCACTGTGTTTGTCCAGTCAGCCCAGTGACCTGAGTAAGTCTAAATCACATTGCCTTGCGATAACCATAAAAAGCCATGTACCACCACACTATTGTAAATATATATATACTGTAATTTAATCATTTTGGCAACTACTGTGCACTTGTACTAACCTTTATGATGATATGACCTACCTAAAATTGCCTTTAAGGAACTGTTTTTGTTGCATGGACTGCTAAATGAGTGTCCTCCTTCCCCAGAATAAGTTTCTATATTCCTTATTAAAGTTTCAGAAGAGCCTACTAATCATTTTCATCATTTCCTTAACCACTGCAATTATATTTAACTGCATGCAATTAATTTTTGCTTATAACATTAAAATAAGGACTGACATTTTCAAGGTCATATGTTTAAGGTCATTTTTGAATCATGACTCTACTTTCTGTAAGCGTAAGACAAATTATGTAGTGTACTAAACATACCTCAAGGTCAATCCATTTACGTTATCCGATATTGTCATATACCGGTATATTGTATAATATGCAAATGCTAAATCATTACCTGTCCAATAGCAAATGTACAGGTAACATTATAGCTACATCAAGATTATATTCATATGAAATTGTATGAATTTCTAATCAAAGAAAACATATCAACAGGTGTGATAATCATGGATACCTGGGGATATTTGGTACTCAATCAGTAAAGTGTTCTCTTGTTCCTTCTTTCTTTTTTGCATGATGTTAAGCTAGCCACAGGTTGTTATGTGATGTACTGAGTTTCTTTTTTTAACCAAAAAAGGCAGCATGTGAAGTTGAAGTTAAATCTGACTTGCAGTTGTAAATAAATTTTTATACAGCTAGTGCTTTAGCTTCATTTCTCTGATTTTTGTGTATTTAGTAATAAAAGTCTATGAGTTGCATGAGTCGTGGACTAGTTAATAATTTTCCATCTTACTTTTTAAAATTTTTGATAAACAAAGTTTTAAAACTTTTAAAACTCATATAACATTTACAGATACTTTTGAATTTTTTATAGCTCTGCTGTAAAAAAAAAATAATTGACCTAATTAATAACATCATCTGATCCATTAAAATTGATTATTTTCTTTGTCCCTCTAGTAACTCGATTTCCTGCAGACAAGGCAAGGGAACTAGTCCAATGGGAAAATATGATTGCAGATGCTTACATGAATCGCTTAGAACATGAAGAGAAGAAAAACATTCAAAACAGAATTATAAATACCCAAGAATCGTGAGTACTTGAATATACAACATAAAAGATTTGGGCTTCATTTTACAAGAGAACTTACGACCTAGACTAAAAATATGACAGTTTTAAAATCTCACCATTTTTATAATTACACAAGTACTTGTGTAAAATTATACATGTATAACCAAATTCTTGTTGTTAGATTAAAATCACTTTAATCAATGTAAAAAAATGAATTGCAAAAAGCAAACTTTGGTCTTATAGTTTTCAGTTCTTTTGTAATATGCTGGGTCCCTGTTTTCTGAAATGGAGTCTTAAAATCATTAGAGTGTAATTGGGTGCATATTTAAAATGGAATCTCTTGTATTAATTTATAAGATACTGCATATTCCTAGGATGTATCATACAATTTGTACAAAGCAACGATAAAGTCTTGTAATATCTGGTATGGAACATGTATGAGGATGTTCATTCATTGTCCTACTAAATTCTCGAGCTATTCTCAACAATATATTACTGTTCCAGGATACATGAGCTATTCTTTAAGCTGGATGAGTTACAGGATATCCAGACCACATCCGGAGCCCCAGGGGTACCCCCCGTTATCAAGGCCCCTATTAATCCTGTGGTTAGAATGCCCCCACAAATGGACAAGAGACTGCTAGCTCTTGAGGAGCAGGTAGAAAAGCATTTTACTTGTTGAAATATTTCTGACATAATGCCTCAGATTAACTGTGTTGGTTCTTTGACCATATACAGTTGAACTTTGATATCTTGAATTCCATGGATGTATGTCAAAGTGGGTTGGAAGTCGCAACCACTTTTTCTTTATGTATTTTGACCTCGATATCTAGAATCCTTGGATATCGCCAATTTTTTTTTTTTGGCCCCATATGAGATAATGACTGATTGTATACCATTGTAGCACAAATAATGTGTATGGCGAAATTTGAGCATGTGACATGTAATTTCTCTGGAAGATTAGAATAAAATTACCTCACATACAGATCATTTCTTTTTTGGTGAGCTATGAATGGTACCTTTTAATTGCAATGTGTCATTTTCTACATAAATTTCAGATGCAACAAAGTACTGTTGCACTCAACTGGATTATGAGAAACTTGCAAGAACAACAGAAGAGCTCTGCAAAGGTCCCACCCCTGATGGAAGATAAAAAAGAAAATGGTAGGTCAAATGTACATTAATTCAAAATTAAAAAAAAATATTTTGAGAACATTTTTTTAAAGATCATTTTTGTTTCAAATTAAATTGTACAAGGATGTGACATTTTTCGTTTGTAATTTTGATTTAGTTGCATAATTATGTTTATTTTAATTTACCTACTTCATTAAGTTAATTTTCATCTTGTGGAGTTGATAAATATTTTAATTACTTTTTTGAAAAAGATGCTGAAAAAATGTAAAATGAATATAAATGAAATAATTTTTTTATTTTGTGTATGACTGCATATTCAGTTATGGATAAACTTCACTATCTCGAACACTGATATGTTGAATACCATGGATATATCAAAGGAAATTGGAAGTCCTTTAATTCCTTAAGTATTTAACCCTTAATCTCAAATACTTGGATATCTTGAAGTCCCTTTGAGTTTGAGATAATGAGGTTTGACTGTATTTTCATTTCAATTGGCATGCTTAACTATATGTTCCTTTTCTCTCCATGGAAAAAAAAAAATATTTGTAGCATGTAGATACAGTCTCTTTTTCATCTATTGTATATTTTAAGGTCGCCATGGTAAACAATGTAAGTTTTGATGGTATTATTGAGCAAATAGTCAGGCTTAGGATTAACGTAATGATTTGCTTATTAGTATTAAATCCCAATTCTGCCTTTCAAGCAATATCATCATACATTATACATAAAGCTCGATGTGAAAGATTTTGAAAAAGCACTTTTAGGCCTAAAAAAATTAAAATCTTGGTTGTCAGGCCTGCCCGCATGTCATTCAACAATGTGCATTACCAAATTTTATCCTCAAATGAATAAAAGATAAAATTTCTCTCATGCGGTGCCCCCCCCCCCCCCCCCCCAAAAAAAAAAATCCGGAATTCCTGACCTCATTTTGACTGCATTTTAGAAATCGGTACAACGAACGTTTGACAAATATCAAGACAATCCAGACTATTCTATTGGCCTAGTTAAAAATTGCAAATATGGCCGTTGAGTTAAGATAAGGCGTTAAGATTAAGTTTAGTCATGGTGGCATTGATTTCAGTGCAAATTCATAAGGGAATGACTGTAATACTTCCATGGTACAAAGTGAGGGTTTCTGAAGGTTCTTCCATGCTGACACTATCAAAGACAGCTCCCTCAACCTCAGAACTTGGATGTCAGCAAGATTCACAGATTTCATTTAGTGTGGGTAAACCAAAGACTGATAAATTTGACAATGTTTAAGAAAATCACAAGTGCTATTTACAGTGCTGAAACACTCTTAGATTAGTTGTTTTACGTAAGCAATTGACCAAATGCATCACTAAAAGTGTTGGGTTCTGTAAGTTTAACACGTCTGGTTTTAGGATGCTGTCGTTTCATTACACGAATCATTGGAATGTAGAAGATATGCAAGAGAAAAGAGAAAGAAGCAGGAAATAAATTATCTTGATTTCTACACTCATTGTTGAAGCACTATTGATTAAAAGTTGCTAGTTTTGAAATTATTAAAAAAAAAAAAAAAAAAAAAAAAAATCCTGCGTCTGGTTTTTATGAGATAAAAAGGAAAAAAAGCCTCCCTCCCGCATTTATTTTGAGAAAAATGGCCTGAGAACCAAGTTGTTTTTTGTTTTTTGCCTTATTTAAAGAATTTTCTTAGGTGATAAAGACTTAAGTTATTTTCTTAATTAATGATTGAAATTTCTCGAAAGGCTTATTCAGAATTATATCTAAATTGCAAAGAATTTTTCATATAAATGTGAAGTATGCACTATATTCATAGATTTGAATTTTATAAAGTATACAGTGCAGGCATCATTTTCTGTTACAACAGCATTATCACTAGCATAAGCACTAGCATGCATGAGTTAAAAAACAATTAGCAATTCAGCATTGCCAACAAGCACCTTACCAACAAACAGCATGAAAGTCACTAATTAAGTCAGCATACCCCAATTCAGTCAGTGCTGCTTTTTAGCTCACCTGAGCTGAAGGTTCAAGTAAGCTTTTTTGATCAAAATTTGTCCATCGTATGTCATCATTGTCGTTATAAACTTTTCACATTTTCATCTTCTTCTTCAGAATCACAGGGCCAATTTCAACCAAACTTGGTACAGAGTATTCTTGGGTAAAGGGGATTCAAGTTTGTTCAGATGAAGGGCCACATTCTCTTCCAAGAGGAGATAAATAAGAAATAATCAAAATTAGGTGTCTTTTAAAAAAATTTCTTCTAAAGAACCACTGGGCCAGAAAAAAACTTATGTGAAAGCTTCATTATGAAGTGTAGATTTAAGTTTGTTCAAATCCTGACCCCTGGAGTATGGTGAGGCCACAATGGGCAATCAGAGTTTTACACAGGAATATGTAGGAAAAATCTTTAAAAAACCTCTTCTTAAGAACAGCAAAGCCATGTTTAGTGATATTTATATGGATGCATTCTCAGGTACTGAAGATTCAAATTTGTACAAATAATTACCCTTTTGGGATAGAATGGGTCCACAATTGGCAATCAAAGTTTTACATAGGAATACACTGGAAAAATCTTGAATCATTTGCTTCTGAAAAACAGTAAATCTTTGATTAGTCATATCTTTAACAGTGCATCTGCAGTTAGTGTAGATTCAAATTTGTTCAGATCATGAACCCCAGGGATAGGATGGGGCCACAATGGGCAATCAAAATCAAAATTTTACTAGGAATATATAGAAAAAAATCTTTAAAAATCTTCTTCTCTGTAGCAGCAATGGGCAATCAACTTCTACATAGGAAAAATTTGAAAAAAATATTCTCGTCAAGAACAGCAAAGCCATGATTTGTCATATTTTGATGGAAGAATACAGTTCAAATTTGTTCAAATCATGACCCCCCGAGTATTAGAGTAGGCCACATTATGGAAAAAAATCTGGTGATGAAGAACAGTGTCAGGTGAGCATTGTGGCCCATGAGCATCTTGTTTTCTTAGGTGTTGGCTATTATAGATCAGATACAGGGTATACATGTACATTGATTACATTACATAAAATGCATAGTAGTAATAGCGATTGCAGCGAGCTCTTACAACAATTCCTGCATGGGTCAAGAGAAAATTCAGACTGTGCATATTGATCCTATTAAATTTTTTACACAGTGACCTCCAGACCCACAACCCTTTCTGAAATTGCATTTTGCCACAAACTGCATTATGGCAGTAACAACAAAAGTCAACCATAAAATAAATTCACCTTGATTTAGCAATTGTTTAATGAATATTGCAGAGAGATTATAAATAAATTAAATGTCCTTTGTTATAAATTTGCACTTTTCAGACTTGTTTATGGAAATGCAACTAACATAAGACATCATGTGACTTCACAGTCTATATCTTCCTATAAATGTCTTCTGTGATCTAAGTTAAATTTGAATTTAAATTAAAATTAATTTGTTATCTTGTAATGTGCAACTGCGCTCACCCCACTAGTTGCACCATCAACATATTAAAAAAACATAAATATATAAAATTCAGATGCTAAACGTGCCAAAATTACAATTAATGCTCATATTTACTTCCTATTCCATTATATTTAGCATCGATACTACCTCCAATAGCATTCACCTACTTTCATTAGCATGGAATAAATATAATTTAGCAAGTGTAAGTGAACATTCAAAACAGACAGTTAAGCATTTGAATTAATTAGCATATAAATGCTGTCACAGAAAATGGTCCCTGTACTAAAAGGCTAAGTATAATGAAGTGCTATATTACATGAATTGGACTAAAAAAAAAATCTGCATTCTTTACTGTAATTTGAGGATTTCATATAGAATTTATTATAATACTAATTCAATTTTGTGCATGATATAAACTTAACTTTGCTTTTGTTGTTTTGTTCATAGTTTTTACACTGTCTAAATGTATATGGGGTAATTATGTGAAGGGAAAACTGCTTTTTGACTTAGAATTTGTAGATTTTTTGTGGTTATACCAGAACTGAATACTTCAAATTTTCATCATTTCATGACAATAAAATGTGTATTTAATTCAGTATTAATTTAATTTAATTTCAGAGTGCTATAGATTGTGTTTTATGTGTTACAGCAAAGCAGAAGAAAGAGAAAGACAAAGCCTTTGTGAAATCTACAGTAGAAGAACGAAAACGTCTGAATTACAAATCAAGGATTCCTAGGTACCCCCAGAGTATGGTCAACAGGTTTCCTGTCCCCGATGACAAGGTTGCCTGGGAGGTTAGTATTTAAGATTTTTGTCTCAAGACTGATTACATGTAGTACCAGCAAAATGCTTCACTTATATTTTGTACAAGTATACAGTGTGAATAATCCTTATAGAGAAAAGTATTATAACAAGAACCTGCTTATAAATAACAGAGTCACATTTTTTTCATTAAAATACTTCAAAGTAACAATCGAAATGAAACTTTATTTGGATTGAAAGAAATGTATTTTTTTTACAGAGCTTGTACTTTCAGGGCTAAGCTTTCTTTTGTTGTATTTCTCTGACATCTATATGTATTTACATTCTACCTCTCCAATCTTTATGACGTACAAAATTTATGTAAATTAAAATAGCCTTTTGTGACTTTTTTTGGAAAATATGATTTTTTCAACATTTTCTTGTCTAAGCCTGAAAATTACATGTATTAACTTGTAAATGTACATACCTTTCACACTATTCTCAGATTCCATTTCTGGAATATGATCCAGTGGTGTATGAAGCACCTGAAGTCAAGAGTCATCCATACTGGGCTGACATTATAGACCTTATTTACATGTAAGTTCAGGAAAATCCGAAAGGGGGGGGGGGAGGACATATGAAGGGTTAAATTATACACAGGTCTTAGGGTTGTCATGGTTCCAAAATTTTTCGGGTCGGGTCAGTTCTGTAAATTTTCGGTTCGGTTTTGGGTTTTTCGGTTCGGTTTATTGCCTCTATTTTAAACCTAAATTTCATGTATTGAACATAATAAAATCTTTATTTGTTACGTTACATTCACCTTGAAAACAAATTTTATCCATGTTAACATCTTGACATAGTGTTTAGGACTATTAGGCCGACTATTAGCTACAACCTGACCATTCTTGCTTGTTTTGATAATTATCTAATCCTTTTGTGACAACTGCTTTGTCATGGAATGAAGTATAATTCAGTTGTGATGTGTATTTAGCACTGTTATCGTCATTATTCTTTTGATTTCGACACCATTTTTTGTATAAAACATATTCTAATATAGAAACCAGAATCGAACTGAAAAATGGAACAGAAACCTAACCGAATAACTTGGACCACGGTTTTCGGTTATTTCGGGGAACCATGACAGCCCTAACAGTTCTTGAAACTCTTTTGAAGAAAGATGCACTGATATAGGACATATATTATAGCAAGAACCTGCTTATAACAGAACGACAATGAATTTATAGTGGAAAGGAACAGACAATTGAAAGTGATTATAAATTATTATTTGTATTTTTCCAGGAAGTTTGTATTTGGTACCCTACCTTAGACACACTGTATTCAAGGCATTTATTTTTGTTCGTTGAAAAAAATTTGAGACAATGAGGGTAAAAAAAACTTTTAAAAACAAAAAAAAAGAAGTTGGGGCTGCCAACTCACTTTCACATATCCCTGGTATTCGAGATGTCAGTGCTCAAGATAAAGAACTTCAACTGTACATTATTACCACTGCTTCTGATTATTGACTTGAAATGTTTATGTTAGAATTGAAGAAGACTTTCATGGCACATCCTAACACTGCTGATTTGTAAACAACTGTCATAAGCCAATCAGTTCAGGAAATCTGGTGTTTTTAGACCAATGCGTAAGAGGAAAATCCGAAATTGCTAGCTGTAAAGGTTTTGAAATGGTTCATTCCTCTATGGGTTGTTTACAAGATGATGTAATAAAGTACTGATGCAAAGTTCAACATTGCTATATAAATATTTATCAGTTTTTCAGAATCTACCTATAATAGTGTATCTGCGATTATCACTTTCTATGGGTGGCTAGGGTAGAAGCTCTGTTCTGAAAAGGGTACAATAAACCAACTGTATTTCACAGATACTTTTTAGCTCACCTGAGCTGAAGGCTCAAGTGAGTTTTTCTGATCACATTTTGTCCAGCGTCCATCTGTAGAAAACTTTTCACATTTTCAACTTGTTCTCAAGAACCACTGGGCCAATTTCAACCAAACTTGCCACAAAGTATTCTTTTTTAAAGGGGATTCTAGTTTGTTCAAATGAAGGGCACACTTTTTCCCTAGGGAAGATAATCATTAATTAGTGAAAAATTCATGGCATCTTTTAAAAATCTTCTTCTCAAGAATCACTGGGTTAGAAAATATGAAACTTATGTAATCTTCCTCAGGTAGTGTAGATTCAAGTTTGTTCAAATCATGACACCCAGTGGTATGGTGGGGGCACAATGGGTGATCATAGGAATATATAGGAAAAATCTTTAAAAATCTGCTCAAGAACAGCTAAGCCATGATTGGTCATATTCTTATGGTAGCATCCTCAGGTAGTGTATAATCAAATTTGTTCAAATCATGACCCCCAGGGTTAGGGTGGGGCCATTATGGACAATCAAAGTCTTACCTAGGAAAAAATCTTTCAAAATCTTCTTCTCAAGAACAGGTAAGCCATGATTGGTCATGTTTATGTGGAAACTTCCTTAGGTAGTGTAGATTTATGTTTCTTCAAATCATGACCCCCGGGGATAGGGTGGGGCCAGATCATGACCCCTCAGGAGTAGAAAGAGGCCACAACAGGGATCAAAGTTATACAAAGGAATATAAAGGATATATCAATAAAAAAATCTTCTCAGTAACAGCAAGGCCATGATTAGTCAGAAGCACTCTGCAGGTAGTGTAGATTCAGGTGTGTTCAAATCATATCCCCAGGAGTAGGGCAAGCCATCAATAGAAGATCAAACGTACGAGAAAAATCTTGAAAAATCTATTTAAGCCATGATTAGTCAAAGAAATATGGAAGCATCCTCAGTTAGTGTAGATTCAAGTTTGTTCAAATCATCATTCCTCACCCCAACCATTTTCAGACTAAAATTGCCACTTATTTAAAGATGTCTTGGCAACTAAATTGTATTTTTTGCAATTTGTCTCTGAAAACACACAAAGGTTTGTCACATGTGAAGAAAACCTGGCTTGCTTAATGCTATCTTTAAACATTCATTTGCATTAAAATTATTCACTAAAGCAACTGCATCTGTGGAATTTTATGGTTTGCACTGAAAAATATATAATAGGTGCATTATTTAAGATATTTAGAGAGATATTTTCATTTGTTTATTGTAACATGATATTACATTATTAATTTTTTTTTTTCTTTTTTTTTTTGCAAACAGAACAGTCTGTTGCAAAGTAATCTAGCTTGGTTGATAAAAAGCTACAGTTGGATAATGAAGTGATTATTGTTTGCAGTATGTAAGAATCTTTAGTATAGTATATTGATGGGACAGAGACTATCATGTTTAACAATTTTTAATCCTCACTTTCTGATAGGAAACCTTCAGACAGAATTGGAAAGATCAAGTTCAATGAATATGACAACAACAACAGGTGTGATAGGAAAAGTTACTGGGGTACTTATGAGGTACGTGATGGACTTCCACTGAACCCTGCCGGTCGGACAGGGATCATAGGACGAGGTCTTTTGGGACGATATGGACCTAATCATTGTGGAGATCCCATAGTGACCAGGTAAACTTCTTATCTGATCCTGTGTCATTTAATAATTTCTATGGACTAAACCAGGTCTGGAAGATTTCCAAATATGGAAGTTGACACTGATAACTGAAAGTTGCTATAAATATGCATCATATACATGTAAATATTTTTCTGCCCAATCAGACAATAGCATTTTTACACACCCCAAAACATATTTCAAAGAAACAAAAAGAGAACAAGTGCTTTTGTTTTTTTTTCCTCAAAAAGATTTTTTTGACAAAAGATCTTTAGAAGTAAGATGAAAAGTTTGGAAGAATAAGGTATTCCCCACATATATACCATGAACAAACCTGATATTTTCATCTCGGAAAAGAAAAAAAAAATGCATGTAAATATGCGATCGTTTATGGAGTAATAGATCACACCTACAAGCTATTATTAAGTACAGTTAAAACATTTAGCAGAACATAGTCTTATGATGGTAAATATAATTTTGCTTAGCTGTCAGTTTCATCGATAATGCATAGTTTCTATGTGTATACAGTCCCTGAAATGTTGTACTTTCCCACTTGAACGGTGAGCGAACGCAGAGCGAATGGTGAGTGAACGATGTTGAACGCTGAATGCAACTTGGTGAACGGTAGGTGAACGCAGAACGGTGAGCGAATGCAGAACACAAATGGAGCGTGAACGCGAGCGCAAAGTGAACGGTGAACGAACAGTGAACACAAGATGAACGATTTATTCTGAATGCCTCTGATTTTTTCCATGCATTGTATCGTATCAATTGTATTCTAATGTCAGGCGCAAAATAAATAAATAAATAAATGTAATCAAAAATTGTCCTAAGAAAGACGAAACATGCACATTAAGTAAAACTATTAATTAAGTTTCTTACAATATTTTCTGCAAATATGTATGATGTTAAAATTCAGCTGTTTAATCACACGATTTTTATCGCTGTAAAACATTGTCATTGTTACCGAACACTATAGTTTAAAAGATAAAATCATTCTAGTTGTAAAATAAATATGTTTTTTTTATTTGATATATAAAACTATTACAAATAATGATTTTCGAAGAGGACATTACTGACTTATAAAATGAATTACAACAGTTGTAACAGCCATACATGTTTTCCGTGTCAAGGCAATTCCGTGTAAAATAATGAGAAAAATTTTTTAAATATTTTGCTTCGGTCTGTGGACATATTGAATGTATACACTCGTACTTTAAAAATTTAATGCAATAATTTATTTATGTGTCTTTTCATTTTTTATGATGATTTATTAGCAGACTTCTACACGTATAGATCTGTAGACAATTCCCTGTGATTACACTCGGACAAGATGATACAAAGAAGCATTCATATTATTTGTTATAGATTAAAATTTCAGAACTTGATATTTAAATAATACATGTCATAGTTTTGATTAAACAGACAAATGAGAGAGAGAGAGCGATTCTGTTTTACCCCCCCCCCCCCTTTCCACAAATGCATGTACATGTACCTCCCCTGTATAAACAAAAATTCTTAATTTTTATCTAAATTCCGGTATATCAGGCAGTGAAAGTAACCTTTTTTTAATCAACAAATTCATTTTGTTTGACAGTCATAATGGTTTTTATTTTCCTGCTTCAAGTTCACACGAAGTCCACATGTTTGTCCTGTCAATCAAAATCATTCGACACTGTGCAGGTGTGAAAGTCTCATCACACCAAAGGCAGAGTGCTACACTGTAGTATTTCCAAGAAGTTTAAACATTTTTTATCATTTCTAGATCTGATTCCAACTTTTCCAAAAAATAAATTGGGCAGGCATAAACACTTATAAAGAACTTGAAACATACTCCCTAGCCAATTTAAAATACCACCATCGGCACGTGTATATTTTGAACTACTTTTGTTTAATGACTTTTTTATAGAGGCAAGTTTGTTTTGAGACTGAAATTTTTGTGCTACAAAACACATTAACTTCTTTTTGAATATTAATTAAAATAGACTGGTAATGCTGACTAAGTAACCGATTTAGGTGGAAAAAGGGGGGGGGGGGGTGTCTTAATCATATCGAATGAATATAAAGTTATTGTGAATAAAGGAATTTTTTCTCTCTAACATTAGACTTTATTTATGAATTGTAGTGTATTACATTTAAATAAATATTTTTAACCACACTATCAATTTAATTTGCTCCAAAGATATTTAATTAACTGGATATCCGCAGTACTATTATAATTCTGGGAACTAGTTCTAATAATGTATTTCTATAATAATTGAAAAAAAAATGTGTTAGTAATAAATACTTTTGTAATTTTGCTGCAGTTGGTAAATTAATTGACATGGATTATTATCTCTCCATTAACAATTTGTCATCTTTATCATAACAACAAAATGTTGCAGTGCTTGAAGTACCCGTATATTGCCCCTTATTTAAATTTAATTTATCAGCATCGTTCTACATAGGTACATGTTTAAAACAACATTTATTTTCCTGGTTAATTTAATAAATAGCCTAATTATATAATAGCTAAGTTAGAATAATAATAAAACCTAGTGTAGATAATTTTTCCCCATGAAATAATGATCCTTTAAACACGACATGTTAATTATTAAATTTCAAATCCTGTAAATCCTTTCTTACAAAAAAAGATAAGTCCTTTCACTTGGGAGTTCCAAATGACAGTGAAAACTGAACGATAAGTGAACGCTGAACGCAAGGTGAACGAACGGAGAGCGAACGGTGAACGCTTTGTGAACAGTGAACGCGAGCGCACAGTGAACGCAGACACAAAACTGTGAACGGAGAGCAAACGGTGAACGAACGGTGAACGCACGGTGAACAAACGGAAAAATGGGAAAATGGAACGTTTCAGGGACTGTAGCTCTACTGCACACAAGTATTCATCGTATAGACTACATGTAGTTTTAAAATAACGGGTTTCATGAGCGCCGAATACCACTTTAGATAGACATAAGGAAATGTGAAAATCATGGAGAAAAGGGAATGTTCATGAATGCTTTTTATTATATCTTACATGTACCTCGCATGTATATCAGAAACTGCATGGATGATTTTGTAATAAACACTCAGGAAATAATTAAGACTGTTATATTCCCATACAAAAACTTTTTCATTTCAGGCTCTAAAAACTGAAAATCTGCCGTATTTATATCAATTTTAACACAAGTTAAACTTTTGGGATTGCTACCTCGTAGTGACAGATTTTTAATCCCACTTAGAATTTATATTAAGTTTTCAAGTCGTGTTTGTTCACAGTAGAATTGCCAAATATACTATATTATTCCTAAATGTGCATAAAGTTTACTAAAAGTTTATTCTTAAAAAATCTTTTGAGCAAAAAACTTTAAAACCACGTGTTTTATTTATTTTCTCATGGGTTTGTCTAAATGCCGTTATCTGATTGGTCAGAAGGATTAGCACCTTGTTTATTCTGTGTATTTATAGCAATTCACGGTTATCGTTCTTGTCTTCCATATTTGGAAATCGTCCAGACCTGTAAACTGATGTAAAATCTTATTCTTTTCTTATGTCAACAGGTGGAAGAGAAATGATAAAGGGGAAGTTGTGATGAAGGAAGGGAAAAAAGTTCTGGAGTTTGTGGCAATTTTTAGAAAAGACAATGAACTTTGGTCTATTCCTGGGGTAAGTGTAATTAAGAACAGACTGCTTTACACTGTGCAGATGTGTTAAAGACGCAGAGTTTACTGCAAAGAAAATTTGTTGGTAGCTCTCAGGTGTCCCTGATATAATGATTCTGAATTGCTGAAACCAGATGGAAATCTCCTCCCCCCTGCTCCCCCCCCCCCACCCCCCGCCCCCAAAAAAAATAAAAATGAAAAGCTCTGAACATAGTAACTAGATGTTAATGTAGTTGGAACTATTGAAAGTGTTGAAACTTTTTTTTTAGGTCCCCTGAGCTTACTCAGGTGATTACTATCTGTTTTTGTCCGTTGTCCTGCCTTACCATTTAAACATTTTCTGCTTCTTTCCTGGAACCACTGAGCCAATTTCAACCAATTTTGGCATATAGCATAGATCTATGAGTGAAAGGGAGTAAAATTTATGAAATTCATGGCACCTGCACCACTAGGGGGCAATCTTTAAAGATCTTCTTCTTTACTCCTGGACATCAAGCAGTCAAACTGTTGCCATGATTGTAATAAGCATTGAGCCCTCTACCAAAATTGTGAAATTCATGGCCCCAGGGTCAGGGGTTCTTGTGTTAGGACAGGGGTCTATTGAGTATATATTGATAATGCATTATTTCTTTAAAAATGTTCTCCTCTGCTCCTGGATATTAAGCAAACAAACTAAATGCATAGTCATGATGAGCAAGGGTACCTCTTCCAAAACTGTGAAATTCATGGCCCCTGGGTAAGGGTTCTGGTGCTAGGATGGGGCCTAATGATTATATAGCAAAAATGCATTAATGCTTTGAAAATCTCCTCCTCTGCTCCTGGGTATTAAGCAAACCATCTAAATGCAATAATATAAATGTATAAATACAATAATTATAAGTAAATGTGCCTTTTCTGTTCCTGGGTATATAGGAGGCAAACAGAGTACAAAATTGTAATAAGTGAAGCAAATGAGAGTTACTACCCTTGCTAAATTGTGTTAATCAAGAAATCCTTGTTTATGTAATTTAATTAACAGGTTATTTGATTGCATGAGAATACAAGAAAGAATGCTGTATATATATATAAACAAAATAAAAATAAATGATTTAAATAAGCCTTGAAAGCAATATACACGATTGACATAAAGATTATTTATGAAGCAAAAGGGCCAGTTGTGTACAGAATGTGTATACTGTGATGTTTTGTTTGATAATAGATGAGTTATTGTCAGGTAAAATAATGGAGATCAGTAGTTTAATTGACAAGAGACAGCATAAAGTTGTTTTATACTCAAAGTGAACAAGTGATCACAAGAGAGTCAAGGTGACTAGGGGACATGTTGCAGTTAGTGAAAAGTGGCAAATAGTCACACTGTATAGCCAATTCTCTCTTTATGTACTTAAATGTAGCACTAGGCAAGTGACAAAAACATATCTGTGTATATTGAATACCAGATATACTAGGAAAGTGTCCATTGTTTTTGTATATTTTTCATTCATTATCGTCCCTGTAAGACTTGGGAAAACCAAGTACAATCCCAAGGAGATCACTTGGGTCTTGCACAGTACAATATTCCTACCAGATTTTTTTTTATTCTTGGGCAACATAGCTTCATCTCTCAGTTGATTTTGCTCTATACTTCTATGGATCCTTTACAGTGTTGTATTTTACTCAGGTGATCATTAAGGCCCTTGGTCCACTTGTTTAGTTCACCTTAATGAAGTCAGGATTAGCTTTTGCTATTCCCCCAGCATCGGTGTTGGTGTTCCTGTTAGTTTTATGGGCAAGTCCATTAAAAAGTAACCGTAAGCCCTGTCTGGACCAAACTTGAATGCGCACTACCAGATTTGCTTCGGCTGCTGGATCTAACCTACATTTTCCAGATGAGTGATCAGGTTTAAATTTTGGGGCAAGTCCATTTCTAAGTAACTATAAGTCCTTTAGTGACCAAACTTGCATTGATGATGCATCTAGGAATGCATAGTAGTAGACATGCGCTGGATGCTGGATCTAACCTACATTTTTAGGTCACCTGAGTCACTCAGGTGATCTATTGCTATCTGTTTTCATCCGTCGTCGTGGGTCATCAGTCGTCCATCATGCAACATGCATCATGTGTTAACATTTGAACATTTTCAACTTCTTCCCTAAAACGGCTGAACCAATTTCATCCAGTTTTGGCATATAGCATCTTTTGAAGAAAGGGAACAAAAATTATATATTTCATGGTCCCTGCCCCCCTGGGGCCTGAGAGGTGGGGCTAAAACTACCAAAATTAATGCAATCTTCAAAAATCATCTTCTTTACTCCTGGACATCAAGCAGTCAAACTGTTGGCATGAATGTGTAATAAGCATTGAATCCTCTACCAAAATTGTGAATTTCATGGCCTCAGCATTAGGGGTTCTGGTGCTAGAAAGTGCATTATTTCTTTGAAAATTTTCTTCTCTGCTCCAAGGTATTATTTAAACAAACTAAATGCATTGTTATGATAAGCAAGGATGCCTCTTCCTAAATTTTGAATTTCATGGTCCCTGGGTCAGGGGTTATGGTGAAAAGGGGGGGGGGCTATAATTGATTATATAGTGAAAAAGCATAATTTCTTTGAAATTATATTTTTTTTTCTTTTCCATGTTTAAAAACAAAGAAACTAAGTGTATAGCTATGATGAGCAAGAGTGCTTCTTCCAGAATTGTGATTTTCGTGACCCCTTGGTCAGATGTTCTGGTGTAAGGGTGGGGCTCTATTGATAATATATTGAAAATGCACTAATTTTATTAAATAATCCTGTCTGCTCCTTAGTACTGAGCAAAAACAAAGTGCAAAGTGCAGTGTTCGAAATTAGCGTCGGCCCGTCGGTCCTGCGCCGACGTACAAACGAAAGGACTCACGAATAGTATGACTAAATGGGTCCTTGAAATAAATCTATGAATCCTGCGTAATTTTTTATCCGCGGATTTTAAAACAGAAATTATATTTCTGAGGAAAAGTATGTATATTGTAATATAATTTAATTTTGGATGTAAAGCGTCATTTGATTGGATAAAAAAAATAGAAAATAGCGTATAACCTGGGTTGCCTACGTCACAATGACTTACGTTAAAAACGTATCAATCCGCTTGACGTTACATTTAAAATACGTACAATTTAAGGGCATTTTTGAAGGAGAAATTGTTTTATTTTTTTACACTTAATGATGGGAAATTAAATTATAAGGAATAACTTTAATAGCTACCCAAGTTATACTGGTATAACCTGGGTTGGAACAGTTTACGCTTTTTTATAAAACCGCTTCGCGGTTTATAAAGCGTAAACTGCCCCAACCCAGGTTATACCAGTATAACTTGGGTAGCTATTAAAGTCATTCCTTAAATAAACACATGTCAAACTCATTAAATGTTATATATGACCAAGTAAGACAGTGTGATGATTAATATCTTACCGTTTCAAATTGTTAATACTTGCGAATTGTAGATACCCTTTATTAAATTGACATAATTCATATGAAGCAATAAACTTACCAAGATCATCGATACGTAAAAGTTTATTTTCCCAAAATATTTAATGGTATTATTTTTTGGCCTGCGCTGCCCTGAAAGGACTCGTGTAGTCCCTTTATCTGTGGGTCCTTTGGACCCATAGAAAATAATTCTGAATTTCGAACACTGGCAAAGTGCATAGTTATGATGAGCAAGGGTGCTTCTTACAAAATTTTTAAAACTTGTGGTCCCAGGGTCAGGAGATCTAGTGTTACTCGTGGGAGGGGGAGGGGTCTATTGATAATGTAGTGAAAATGTGTTAGTTCTTTGAAATGCATAATTATGATGATGGGGGTACCTCTTTCAATTTTGTGAATTTCATGACACTGGGTCATGGGTTCTGGTGTTAGGGTAGGGCTGTGTTGAATCTGTAGTGAAAATGCATTATTTCTTTGAAAATCTTTCTGCTTCTGGGCATATGGGAGGCAGACTAAAAGTTTTAATACGCAAGGGTATTTTTACTAGATTTTTGAACACCTGGACCATTTGGTCAAGTGTTCTGGTTCTATCCAGACTCTTTTAATTTGTATTCTACTGAGAGAATTCCCCTTTGTTATTACCTTTGATAACAAATCACTGTAAATAATGTTCTTGAAAGGTTAATAGAATAAGAAAATTATGCAAGAGTTTTTGTTGTATAATACAAAAAGTACTTTCAGAGTTTTAATGGTCAGGTAGACCTGTAAATAATAGATAAATAAAAGTGAGAAAAAATAACTTCCCTTATTAAGTGTTCTTCAAAGACCAAGAGAGGTCAATGTGAGAGGTGATAATATGGGGTAAATAATAGAACTGATGTACCACTTTTTTGTTAATAGTCTGCATGGTAATAATGATAAATGGAGGACAGATTAGAACTTACTTTATGAGTTGTTACAGAATACTAGACTAATTATTTCGTTGCTATTTCTCTTGCTTTTGGGCAACAAAGCTTCATCTATCAGTTTATTTTATACTCTATGGATCTTCTAAATTGTTGTATTATACTCAGGTGACCGTTAAGGCCCTTGGGCCTCTTGTCCAGAAGAGTGACCAGGTTAAAGTTTTTTTGACAAGTCCAGTAACTATAAGCCCTACCTGGACCAAATCTGTATGAATAATGCATCTAGTGATGCACATTTACCAGACTTGCTTTGGATGCTGGATCTGGCCTACATTTTCTGGATGTCTAAATAGGTTTAATGTTTTGGAGCAGGTCCATTCCAAGCAATTCAAAGCCCTACCATTACCAATCTTGCCTAGTTGATGCATCTAGGAATTCACATTACCAGACATGCTTCAGATGCTGGATATGACTTATATTATCTGGTTGAGTGACATGTTTCAACTTCTTGTAGCAGGTCCTTTCTTAGGTACCGTAACTATAAACTCTATGATGACCAAATTTGCATGGAGCATGCATCTAGGGATACACACTACCAGACTGGCTTCAGATGCTGGATCTGGCCTACATTTTGAACAGGTCCATTCCCAAGTAACTTAATTCCTACCTAGTCCAAAGTTGCATGGATGATACAACTAGGGACTTGCTTTGTATGCTGGATATGATCTGCATTTTTGGATCAGGTCCATTCCCAAGTAAATGTAATCTTACCTGGACCAACCTTGGATGGATGATGCATCTAGGAATGCACACTAACAGACTTGCTTCAGATGCTGGATCTGTGATACTTTTTTTGAAGCAGGTCTATTCCCAAATAACAGTCAAGCTGTAGATTGACCAGAGTTGCATGGATGATACATCTAGGGATAAACACCACCAAATATGCCTTATATACTGCATCTGACTTGTCTGGATGATCTCACGTTTGTTTTCAAGATATTGAAACAGTTCAATTTTTTTAACATTCCCAAGAAACTATAAATCTTAACCATACCAGACTTGCATGGTTATTGCATCTAAATGCACTACCAGAGCATTTAATTAATGAGAGACATTGCTTTATAGATAGCATCTGTCAAGGTGAGCTTTGTAATCTTTGATTATGTATTGTTTTTTTTTTATCTCTTCAATATTGCTTTAAAAAGCTGTATCCTTACAGAGTTGACAAATACCACTCAAATTTTGGCTTCCAGAAGCATTAGAACATTGTAAATTTTACAGAAAACTGATAAAGATTTTCGACTTTGACATGTTCCTGCTGGTTAGGTATCACATACATGTATCAATGCTGTGTTACAGGGTATGTGTGAACCAGGACAGAAGGTGTCTCAGTGCCTGAAGGCAGAGTTTACAGAGGAAGCACTGGGAACATTGGTCAATGACCAGACCATGAAAGATAAAATCAACAAAGACCTTCAGTACATGCTGGATCATGGAGAAGAGGTAACAGGATTAGTGATGTATTTCTTAAAAAGCAGAATTATTGGGTTATTGTGATCATTTACAGTAAACCAACTTTTATTCGCATGCGAGAAATATTCGTGAGTTTTGCGACCTACATTTATTCGCACATATTAATCGCCTCGAACCATTTATTTTGCTTTGTATTTGTAGAGAATGTTTCCTGAGTCGCAGAAATTAATCGTCGCGGATTGATTTTAAACTGACGAATCGCGAATAAAAGAAGACGTGAATAATAGTTGGTTTACAGTAATTTATATGACCTATCCTATGCCTCCTTTTATTATTCTTATTGGGGAGTGTGGGGCTACAAAAACTGGTGTTCAGGAGAACACGAGATTGTCAGATACATTGCCACTACTGAAATTTTTGTATTGTATTCAGATTCCATTTTATTTTGGCTTAGTATATACATGTACATATCATATGCCTCCTCTGACAATTTTGGATTAGATTTCCATCCAGTTGAAAATAATGAATATGTCTTATCATAATCTAATTATTAATTAGAATACTTAATTAACCCTATGAAAGAAAAATAAGGATTAAAAATAATAAGAATAAAAATGGCATAGCAATTTTGTTTTTTAAAATGATTATGAATCAGCTCAATAAAACTTTACTTTGACTAGATATACAAAGGAATTTGTGATGATCCCAGGAATACTGATAACGCTTGGTTGGAAACTCTTGTGTTTAGCTATCATGACAACACAGGCAAAATTCTTCATCCATTCCTTTTACGAGTAAGCATTGTTTTTATTCATATAAGAATTGTTAAAGACATACTGATCAACTTAATCAGTTTTGTTTTTTTTTTCCCTATGAAATTACTGTTTTTAACTGCATGATTTCTTAGCTGCAGATCTGTAGCTCGCTGGTCTGAAAAAATTGGAATGGATGACCAGAGAGCTACAGTGCCACCCATGAAAAAAAAAGTATAAATTTATTGCGCACAAAAAAGTGAGCTATTTTTCGATTTATTTCTCCATATTTTTAAACTGCAATCTCAAAATATCAGTAACTGTGTGTTCATATTCTTTCACTATTTCCACATCAAAAAATTCCTATAACCATGTTAATAGCCCTCCTGGGCCTTAAAATGAGGCCATCCAAGGGTTTGCCTGTTTATACTGCCATTTTGGGTAGCAAGATAATTCAGCCCAATGCCCTTCCTAAAGATGTCAACTACAAGGGTAGTTGATAGAGAGGTCTAGGAAATTTTTTTAGAAATCCAGCTTTTGTGCAATTGAGGTAAGAATTTGGAGAAACAAATCCAGAACCAAGCACAACTTATTGTGTGTAGTACAGTTTCTTTCTATGGGTATAGTTCTCTGTTCTGTAAATAATTCCTTTTTTTTTTTTTGGAGAGCTGCAATTCTGTTTTTTTTTTTTTTAAACTCTCTAAGAATTTTTTTTTAAAAAACTTTCAAAGAAAAATTTATTTTCAGGTAACTTGAAATTCACATTTGTTATTTCTTTTCTTCATATTTAATTTTCACACTAGTATACATCTGATGGGTCTTCTTACCACCAATATATAGCCTATTCACAATATGTACAAGATAACCTTTGTGTGCAGTTATAATTTGATTTTTTCTTTATTTCTAGGCTGGAGAGACAGTGGAAGCTGCTACATGGTTAGAGGTGTCGTCTAGTCTAATCCTTCACTCCTCTCATCTATTTTATGTAAAGCTTGTGGCTGACAAGTTAAATGCTTACTACTGAGAGAATGCAAAAGGATATGGTATTTATCCAGTGGGAAAAATCAAATACTACTTATTGTCTAGTGAAATTTGAGAACTTGCCTTAATGCTCATGAAAGAAAGCATAAACATTTCAAAAGAGTCTTATCACTCATTGTCACTTTTAGCACCTAAACAAGTCATGCCTCAATTATCACAATTATTAACTAAACTATTGACTATTTTACTGATGGGGTAAATGTATGTAATAAAAGCTTAATGCTCTTAGCTCATTGTTGGCTCAAAAGGAAAGTTTAGTTGCTGCAGTCCATATTGCATTCAGAAAATTATATCAATATTTGTGATTATGAACCTATCTAAAGTGCCTGGATATATCATAAATGCCATAATTATCATTGTAATATTTACATAAATCATAGACTTTTGACTAAACTAGTCCATAGATGTAGGAAACTCAAGGCATTTACAGTAAAATGTGTGTATAAGGAATTCAGAGGGTTGTATTTTATTGAAAATGAGTCTTTCTTGAGATTATTAGTCAAAGAAAACCATTTCAAAATGACTGCATAAATTGACTTAATATTTTTTTGCATGAATATTGACATGTACAGTAATGTGAGTTATTTGCACATTTAACTATGTACATTAAATCAATATTTCATTAAGTGTACATGTACATGTATATAGAATTCTTCTTTGTTAAGAAACATATGTGATCCATGACAAGAGTTGAAGTACACAGAAGTATACCAGCTAGTATTTCAACTCAATTTCTTCAAACAAGGTCTAAATCAAAGTTTGTTTGTTTCCATTGCAAGGTCCAAATCAAAGTTTTGTCTTGATTCTCAGCATATTTTATTGCTAATTTTCAGAATGATAACCTAACAGGCTTTAATTGAGATTTTGTGCATTGAGGTCCAATTTCAACTCTTTTTCAAGCACAATATTTGTGCTCAACATTTTTATTGTCAGACCTGCTGGGACTCTCAGCATTTGTTTAAATAATTAGTATTATCCTTTGAATTTCATGAGTACATGTATGTCTAGTTGAACAAATGACATTTGTCAGGATCTTTCTGTAATGTTAAGAAGAGTACTGTAGTATTAGCCCAAAGTGCATTGATTCATTGGATCTTAATATATGCAGATATATTTACATTTCCAATGTCTTTGTCCGAGATAAAATGACAAATTGTAAAAATACTTTATTTCTACATAAATCTATTGGTTCATCGATAGGCGCGGTTAAAAAAAAATCACGTGCGGGGCGGGGCAAATAGAGACAGAGTCGGGGCTTGTAGCACGGGAATTTGCAGAATCAGGAGCATATAAATATAAGGAATAACTGTCAGATTTTTTGGATTCATGACGATGATCAATCGATTGGCTTGCGTGATAATTTTATGCATAAACGCCTTCGGCATTTATGCAAATTATCACGCAAGCCACTCGATTGATCACATCATGAATCCTAAAAAATTAGACAGTTATTCCTTAAATATATTTCACATATCAATAGGGAGTTTCATAAGCCTCTTTTGGCTTGTATATTTATTTTTTTATTAACCATTTTTGTTCACATTGAGACGAATATTTTAACAGTGGGTAAGTTAATTTTCTCTACTGAAGTTTTTTTTTTAAATTAAGGAATAAAAATGTCTTTCTGTGAGCCACTTTTAAAATTATTTAAGAACTACAATATACATGTATATTGTTTTTACATTTTTATTTTATACACATAGGCTGTGATATAATTTATTGTTTTAAGCTTTTTGAAAAGATTTTTTGCTTACTGGTGAGGGTCTGTATTGATAGTGTGTTATTTATTGAGAGAATTAAGGTGAATAAACATGTTATTGCAAAGTATTCTATCAAGTTATGAAACAGCTGTTTAAAAAATAGAATGGATAGAAGATGTTCATTAAAGAACTTTAATTGGTTGTTTTTAATCATTTTTGTTGCTATTATCCGTCCATGATGGAGTACATTGTCTGAACTATTTTAAGAATCTTTCTAACATGTGGAAATAAAAAAAATTTGAAAAAACTGTTTGTTACCATTATATTTATGTTAAATAAAACAAGACATTTTACACATTAAATACTCTTGATGATCATAGCTCATTGGATAGCATTGTTTGCTCATGATTTTAAGAAAATTTAAAAAGAAAATTGCTGTTACCTGAGGTTTTTTGCTCACCTGAGCAGAAGGCTCAAGTGAGCTTTTCTGGTCACATTTTGTCTGGTGTCCATCTGTCTAGCTGTCCGTCTGTCTGTAAACTTTTTCACATATTCGACTTCTTCTCAAGAACCACTGGGCCAATACGTTTGATTTCCATTAGTGAACTCTTCAAAATTAGAGGCGCGTTTGGTCGTCTGACTGGGACGGCATGGCGTTGCGGATAGTACAAAACATGCCAATCTCAATCCAATTTTAAATGTTAAATGTATTTGTCATTCCAATTAAGGAATAGAAGAACTAAAAGACATATGTAAGAGAGCGAGAACCTTAAATTTATCATCCATTAATAAACAATACGATATTTCCGAGGCATGTGTATTGTATTAGATGTACCATACAATGAATAGATACATACGATCAACAATAGATATAAATTGATATCGTTGTCATTCCTACTCTTGATGTATGTAAAGTCCACAACAATAAAATATTTATTTGCATTTTGTTAGGATTTGTTCATCGACATTCAACATATTGTTTACATGTTTATGATACATTTATCCCCAAAATCCTGCGAGATTTGTACATTTTCTGACTTTTTCACAAAAGAGCGCACTAAGAAGTATAACTCTTCCATAGTGGAAATAGAACGTATTTCAACCAAACTTGCCAAAAAGTATCCTTGGGTGAAGGGGATTCAAGTTTGTTCAAATGAAGGGCCACGCCTTCTTTTGAGGGAAGATAATCATGAATTAGTGAAAAAATAATGGCATCATTTAAAAATCTTCTAAAGAACCACTGGACCAGGAAAGATGAAACTTATATTGAAGCATCCTCAGGTAGTGTAGATTCAAATTTATTCAAATCATGTGCCCCTGGGGTAGGGTGGGGCCACAATGTTGGATCAAAGTTTTACATAGAAATATATAAGAAAATATCTTTAAAAATCTCCTGCTGAAGAACAGCAAAGCCATGATTGGTCATATTTATATGGAATCATCCTCAGATAGTAAAGATTCAAGTTTGTTCAAATCATGACCCCAGGGATAGGGTGGGGCCAGAACTGGTGATCAAAGTTTAGCATAGGAATACACAGGAAAATTCTTTAAATCTCTTCTTCTCAAGAACAACAGTCATGATTGGTCATATTTTAATGGAAGCATCCTCAAGTAGTTTAGATTCCAGTTTGTTCAAATCATGACCCCTGGGGTTAGGGTGTGGCCATAATGGGGGATCAAAGTTTTACATAGGAATAACAAAGGAAAAAATCTTTTTCTCAAGAACAGTAAAGCCACAATTAGTCGTACTGATATGGAGGCATCCTCAGATAGTGTAGAATATTTGTTCAAATGAGGACCCATGGGGGTAGGATGGGGCTCAATGGGGGATCAACTTTTTTTACAAATGAATATATAGGAAAAAATCTGCTGCTCAAGAACAGCAAAGCCATTTGTTATATTGATATGGAAGCATCATCAGGTAGTTTAAAATTCAAGTCCGTCATTTTATTCAGTTATTTTTAGCATCAGCATGTGAATCGTGTCCTTTTTAATTTTTTTTTTTCCATATTATGACTGATTATCTGTATTTTAATTGATTTAGAATGCCCAAGTCCTTATGCAGAATAGTTATCCAAGTGCAAGTATTTGAGAATTCTTTATTAGGAATTTTAAGGATATTTGCTTGGTCTAAGGTACATGTATAATATTTTGACAGATATTCATTATGAAATCTTACTCCAGATCTAGATTTACGGTACATGTCATGAACTCACAAGAGCTGAAGGCTCACTAGACTATTCTCATCAAATTTATGGGATGAGATCCGTAATTTGCCTCGATGTGCTTTAAAACTTGTGCCTCAAAGAGGAAATCATTAAAGTAGACAACATATAACAACTTTGTATTTTGAATTCATAGGTTAAAACTAACTAGAATGCAAGAATCCAACAAAGACCATTACAAGGGAAGTTTGTATTCTTTTTTAAGGTAGTACACAATAGGTCAAATTTTTCCACAAATTCAACTTTTTGAAATTTTGTTCTAGGATACAAAATCTCTCTTTATATTTAATTTGAAGGAAATTCAACCGCACGTTTTTTGCCTCTTAGTTTGAAATATGTCCTACTAGACCTCTGTAAGAAGATTGTGACAGACACTGTACTTTAAAATATGCATTTTTTTTTTAAATACCAATTAATATAGCAAATTTGTGTGATGCTTTATATAAATACTACCTTTCTGTCACTAAATTTCAATAAATTATATTGATACCGGTATATATTGAAGTAAAATGTGATGAAAAAATCAACCATACAAAGCCCAAATTCACATGTATAACAGATTGATTGAAATGGAACCTAGATTAAAATGTGTCAAAATGAGGAAAACCGACATTTTAAGATATTTTTGCAAATTCAAAGAAATATTCATTACAAAAAAAGAATCAGTAGATGACTTCACAATATTTGACCTCTAAATATGACCTTGACCTTAATTGTGTATAAAGATTGGAGGCTCCTTATAAATATGTCCGACTATAAATGGATCAAAAGTTACTTTGCATTTATTAACAGACTGTCGTATACCGCGTGTAGATGGTATACCTTCTAAAATGTAGGTTGTCAGATAACTAATATTATATAGGATTCTCTAATTTTTAGCTCTACTGGTCAGAGACAGAAGAGCTTATGCGATAGTAAGGTGTCTGTCCATCCGTCTGTCTGTCTGTAAACAATTTTTCAAAATGCTACTTCTCCTACAGTTTTGATCTGATTTCAATACAACTTGGCACACAAATAGACTACACTAAGATACATAATTCTGTTTATCGGTTTTTGATTTCGAAGAACGGTGTTGCCATGGTTACTAAAAATAGAAATTTCTGTGAAATACATTCAAAATGCTACTCCTCCTACAGTTTTGGTTTGATTTCAATATAACTTGGCACACAAGTAGACTACACTTAGATACATAATTCTCTGTATTGGTTTTTGATTTCAATGAACTTTGTTGCCATGGTTACTAAAAATTATAGAAATTTCTGTGAAATACATTCAAAATGCTACTCCTCCTACAGTTTTGGTTTGATTTCGATATAACTTGGCACACAAGTAGACTATGCTAGGATACATAATTCTGGATATTGATTTTTGGTTTCGGTGAATGGTGTTGCCATGGTTTCTAAACATAGAAATTTCTGTGATATACATTCAAAATGCTACTCTTCCTACAGTTTTGGTCTGATTTCAGTGTAACGTGGTATGCAAGTTACTTGGCACACAAGTAGATTACACTGAGATACATAATTCTATATATCCATTTTTTGATTTTGGTGAAGTGTTGCCATGGTTACAAAAAAATTGAACTTTCTTTGATATACTTTCAAAACATTACTTTGCGTGCAGTTTGGTCTGATTTTAAT